TTTGGCATAGATGATAGGTGCATGTCATTGTATGTATGTGCACCACACGTTCATCTGTGTGCCGTTGTTGATTACTGCGAGCGATGGGTGCCGAAAAACATGTCTTGTTTGCATTCGTGTATCCATGAAATCGGTAACAATGCGATAAAGGCGTCCGAGATGCTCTGGGTCTTTCGAAACAATAGTAAGACCGCCAGCCAACAGCAAATAGTTGTGGTAGGCTTGTTGTGATGTAGGCTGAATACTATTGACACGGTGGCTCAATTCCAACATGCGTAACGTAAAGATAAATGGTGATGGATGATCGCCTTGTTTGATGCCGTTGATTGTTGACTGGGACACGCATGATCAAGACTTTTTATGCTGGGGCAAGAAACAAACGTGACATGGGAGATGATGATGATGAACCTAATAAAAGTGTCTACATTCGAAGCAAGCATGACATTATCTAAAGGGATATCAACTATGTCGTTGATAGTAGTCTTTATGCTTAATCACCATTTCGAAGGAGTGGGATCAATTCATCACCTCAACTTTGTCTTTATCGTTGTGTTTGCCTTTTACCACGTGGGGTTTATACTCTGTGATCCATCATGCTAGATTTAGCAACAAACACAGTCCACCTCATGTCATTATTATTCGCTATCATGATGCACTTGGATTAAAAAACTAATCATGCATGCTGCATCATGGGCAGCATTATTGCTGTTTGAATGATGATGTTTCGTACATATGCGTAGGTCTAATGCAAAATATGATCCTTTATAATAATTGTGCATGCTTTATTATGCATGAGCTTATATATGTATATATGATATTATTACAAGTAGTATATTAATATAGAGATCTGGCAAGGCATAGATGACCACCACCAGTGTATGAGTGCTCCTACCACCAAAGAGCAATGCCTCCATAATACGTTGACGACAGCTGCAAGCCGGCCATGTTTTCCCACCGCATTGTCCGTAAATACAGCATCCACTATCGTATGTTCCAGGTATTAGTATTCATGCTGGCAAAGGGCGACCCGCATCGTTCATACTTACAATGTCCTTGCCAATACACCTTTTTCACTGTATACTTGTTTCCAGCAATTGATACGCGTTATCCTTCATCCTTGCTTCAATGCTCCTCTTGCTTCGTGATGTTCTTGATTGGATGTTGTGCTATCGATTTGATACACCCTCATTGTATTGAAAGCAGCTTTGACCTGCATAGCGATAATTCTATGGATGATGACGTTAGCAAAAGCAAGGTAAAAGAAACGACCAGAAGGTACTTACCCATTATCATATGGAGCGCGTGTATGCTTTTGAGTATGCTTTCACTTGTGCCAACGTAAGGCCGTTTGTGGTCAAACACAGATACCAGCGTGATCCAAGTTCTCCTAGCACAGTCCTTGCAAGTCCCACTTCTTTTTCTTGTTCTTTTTTTCTTCTTTTTCTTTTTTGTTTCTAAGGACAAGCTCACAATGAGAATCCACTATTCATCCTGGATGATGCCAACCATATACGTACTTTTCTTTCAGGCTCTCTTGAGTTTGATGATATTGAATGCCAATCCTTATTTGAGTGATGGTCGAGATTGTTGAGCAGATTCAGCACGGCACCCAACGGCCAGGCGACTCTTAATCGATGGACGCACGGTGCCCTGTGACCCTGAACGACAAAGCGATACATATCCTCCAGACCGGTCTTGATGCCATTGACGTTTGTTTCTCGGCATGTTTGTTCTATAACACCATTGCCAATACATGGATCTTGTATGTCAACCAATTCACCGAATGATACTTACTTTGATGTTTTGTGTTTGTGATTGATTGAGCGCTTGATTGAAATGATTGATGAACGTGTATGCGCGTACGAGAGAGAGATAGAGAGAGCCATAGATTGATTTGTCTTCATATATATGTGGAATCTTGCAATTGCTGAGCATAGGAAATCCAGAATCGATCGCCAGAACCGCTGTGATATGATACAGACATTCCATGATTGCATCTATGTAATGATATGGTAAGCGTCATGGTTATAGGTAGGCTTTGGAACCATATACGTACGTTTTGAATGGTCGATCCTTGCTTGGTTTGTTCTTGACTTTTGTTGCAATGTCGACCATGGTAATTTGGCAATGTCATGTTCGGTCTTCATAATGTTGTTCATAACCATGCATGAACCTCCAGGATTGGAAAAGGTCCACAGACCACCAGGCATCTTTGGATTGATGTAAAGTTTGAAAATGATCGAGACTTGAATGATGATAGCAATTGTGGTTGATATTGTGAATGCTCTTGGGACGCCATACGATTCATGCGTATATGAATTCATAGCCTTCCTGATCCCATAGAGTGTAGATGATGGAAAGATCCAATATAAAGCCATAGCACGTGCATTGGTTCCAATTTGTTCCCCATTTGAAAGCAATCCATAGCATGGATTGCTTTCAAGAGATGAGAGGTCCTCGACATCTGCTGCCACATGTGTGCTGTGAAATCGTGATCACCGCCAATAACGACTTCTGAAAATGCCAATAGTGATTCGTTCCTTCACGTCGTTGAATTGGAATATCTTGTTGATGCCGAATTGTTCCAGAAAAGCCTTCTCGAAAGATCATTTTGATGCACATGCCGCTAATGGGATGCCACGCCAACATAACGAGACGCCTGCAGTTGCCTTGGTTCTGCCAAGTGCGATAAAGCCATTGTCATAGTTGTGTGTTGCCAATCAATCCAAGTAAAATAAACGCCTCCAGTGTCCAAACGTCCCTTGTGATAATCCATTCTTGATGCCATAGGTATGAATCTTTGCAATTGCAGCGATAACAATTGTGACGTGATCCAAGTCAATGCCTTCCTCAACGCCATTGCGTTGCCATCCGTGTCATTCTTTGTCGGATATAGAGTACAATAGGCCAACTCCTAATTGCGTTGTAGCATTGTGCCAAATGAACGATATGAACCTCATTTGGGTTGTCGCCGTATGATTGTGTTGCTGCTGCCACCATGATGTCAATAAAAGGAAAACGTGTTCAGTTGCATCTTGTCCCCATAGCCATGTATCGTATCAGCGAGAGGAGCACCAACAATTGAAATAGGCAGGATCGTATTCACGCGGACCAAGAGAATAGCAGCATCGCAACGAATCGCCTCATCGAATAAAAGAGAAAGACGCCCTTCTGCCTTGTTGCCATGACAATAGATGCCCAAATTCAGTGACACCACCAAGTCAATTGAAAGAGACCCCGCTGTGCCTTGACCAATGATGATAAATAACCCTCATAGGTAATGCCGCCAATAGAAGGGAAAAGGGCTTGTCTTCTCGGTAGCCATGGCGATGAATGTGTCTTGCCAATAAAATGAAAAGCAATTCCTTGTGCCTTGTCGCCTTGGTGATAAATGTGTTCAAATTGGTAACCATGCCAGTAGAATGAAAAGGAACTCCTTTGCTCTGTCGCCATGACGATGAATGTGCCAAAATAGGTAATAGCGCGAATAGGATGAAATGCAATGTTGTGTGCCTTGTAGCCATGACGATAAATGTGTGCAAACTGGTAATAGCACCGATCCAGTATTCTTGGAAAGAGTCGCCTTCTTCATTGGAGCCATGCAATACGCCACGCGATGTGTAACGATGCCAATAAATAGAAGTAAAAGCTTGAATCTTGTCACCATGACGACCCATGTGTTCAGCTTGGTAATGGCACCAGTAAAAAGAAAAGAGAACTCTTGCTCTTTGTTGCCATGACAACGATGGCTCCGTATCATTGCACCATCGAGAAAACGAAAAGAGAACCCTTGCGTGCGCCCATTGGTATCCGCCATATGCCCAAGATCCGGATCGGTAGCGACACCAATAAAAAGAAAAGAGAACTCCTGTCCTCCGCGACCGCAGCCGCTCCTGGCACCAATCGCCCCAAAAGGGCCCAAGGCCTATTGTGAAGAGAGACATCCATTAGCATCTTCAAAACACATACCCAGTTTTGCTTCAATACATACCATTACACATGACCATAACCTGTTCACAGGGATACCCTACAGAACCAGAAACAAGGACGTGGCATGTCATCCCAGGCACATCCAACCCCATGTGGAGAGTGAAAGGAATCGACATGAGGCCTCTTTCCCACCCACGGATCCTTCAAAGTCTTATCCTCTGCACCAAGAGCGCCGGATCCAACGACGTCCAATCTTCTCCTATCACCAGGCTATGATGCCTTGCCCACCATGTCTTGATGTTCGTTTGCCAGATACCCACTTCATAGATGATTACCGCTTGTGCCTAAACATGATCATCCAACATGTAAAGGCGGTGTCACTATGTAGGGACACACCACAGTATCAATAACCATGATGGCCCCCACGACATAAAAGGATATTAGTAAGTAAATGGATCATAAAACAATATCACTGTTTGGACTTACCCTTTCAAGACCAAAACAAGTACCTCAGTGGGTAACGTAGCAAACAGACCATGAGAGGACGTAGGAATGCAAGGACTTGCACATAGCAAACTGGATCATGGATACCAATTGGACTTCTCGTTGGCTCTTACAGCACCCAAGGTAACGTCATCGATGACCCTCCAGATCCTCCCACCGCGAGACCTACATGCCAACCCTTTCACTCAACACACATGAAGCTGAACGTACCTGAGAATCATCCACGCCTTGAATCTGGACTGCAGGGTATCCCATCCATAAACGAAACGCCTCCGAAAAGAGAGACCCAAAGACGATCGCCCCTCTTGAAGAAGCTCTGTGGAACTAAGCCCACACCAAAACGAAGCACCACCGAAACAAACGACACCAAACCACCTTGAAATCTAAAACAATGTGAGCATCATTGAAACCCATAAAAGGTTAGCAGCTTACCAACAACTAGAAAGCTTCGTATTCCTCGTAGACATACTGGTCTTCGTCATCGTGGTCATCAAGGACATAGCCATAACCATCGTCGTAGTCATCTTCATCGTCATAGTCATCTTCATCACCATCGTCATAACTATCGTAATCGCCACCATCATCGACATCGTCACCATCATCATCATCATCGTCATCGTCATCGTCATCATCATCCTCCTCTTTCTCCGGATCATAGTCCAAGTCCTCCGTGGCTTCTTCAAGCCAAGCAGCAAATTCAGCCCATGCCTGTTGCTGCTCTTGGTGGCTTTGGTCTTGATGACCACGTGGTTGCGGACGTGGTGATGATGAGGGTGTGGTGTTGCGAGTGTTGGTGATAGTAGTGGCATCGGAAATTGGAGCAGGAGTAACGGAATTAATGGTGGCGGTGGTTGTAGTAGGAGTAACAGTAGTAGGAGTAACAGTAGTAGGAGTAGTAGTAATAGGGTGCGGTGTAGGTGGTTGGGTATCTTGAGGAATAACAAGGTGGGTATCGGTGGCAGGCATACAAGTGGTCATAGTGGATGTAGGAGTAGTTGTAGTGGTGATGGCGGCATTAGTGGTGATGGTGGTATCAGTGTCGATGGCGGTATTAGTGATGGTAGCGGTAGTGGCAGGCATAGAGGTGGTCATAGTAGCGGAAAGAAGAGGTGTAGTGGCCGTGTCGGTATTAGTGGTGGTATTGGCGGCATTGATGACAGGTGAAAGGAGCGTAAAGTCTTCCTCCATAGGAATTGGCATAGGCGATGGTGGAGGCGATGGAGGAGGTGTTGCGGGACGTGAGGTGATGGTAGGAGAAGGCATATCTAAGTAACAGGGATGTATTAGATAAGCATGTCTATTTATAAGCTCTTCAAAATGCGCACTTACCGATGAGAATAGGATTGTCATCGTTGTGAAGGAAAGGAGAGGTAGCCAAATTGGCAGACATATAGGAAATCATGTCGTCATCTAGAAATTATCATATAACGTCATTAAAACTCATTGCTGTGACAATCCAAGAGATGAAAGCTCTACTTACCGATTTCCACAGCAGCAATTGGCTCTTCATATCGTCGGTCAGGAGGCTGTGCCATGTGCACATCCTCATCAAACGGATCGTTGGCGCTCAAATGAGCAAAGAGGTCACCTACATAAGGGGTATTGTTAGAAACTTGTATAATTAAGGAACTAAATGCATAGGTAAATACTTACAAAGCTCGTCAATTGCATCCTCAAAAGGAGCAACACCATCAACAGCAGCAGCAACAGGGTCAACGTCCTGAGCAACACCACGAAGAGAGCCAACGTCATCCGAAGCAGAAACAACACCACCAAAAGAAGAGACAACCACACCAGAACGAGAAGAAGAGGCAACAGCACCAGAACGAGAAGAAGAAACAGCACCAGCAAAAGCAGAAGAAGAAACAGGACCAGCAAAAGCAGAAGAAGGAACAGCACCAGAACGAGAAGAAACAGCACCAACAGCAGAAGACGAAACAACAGCACCAGCAGAAGAAACAAGAACACCATCGACAACAGCACCAGCAGAAGCAGCAGAAACACCAACAGCAGAACCGTCAACAGCAGCAACATCGTACAAGGGAGCACCAGCAAGATCAACAACCTTCCAGTAAGCTCGAGCCTCCTTCACAAACTTCGTTGCTTCTTCATTGTCACGCATTGCTTGCAAAGTACGTGGATCCCAGTCAGACGAACACCACACCCAAACGTCGACAAGAGAATGCCAAAAGGCAACAAGGGGATCATTGAAGAAGACGAAAAACATGAAGAGGCAAAACAACGAGGCGAAGAGAACGGGGAAGGAAATAAGCAACTGCAATATGCAGGCAAAGAGCAGGACAAATGGGCACAGAGGGCCAGAGGCGAAAGCAGCGACAGTAGCAAAGAGCCAGAAGTAGGACATGACGCGAGTAAAAAAAGTTGGGAAGAAAGAGGAAGAAATTCGTTGCGCTGGAAACGGGCAATTTATTACCAAGAGGACGTCACCCCATTTCACCCCATTTGACTAATCCAATGTCATGATCCTTCTCAATTGCAGTTGGAATGGGTAAACAAGTATGTCTAAACTATCTTTATATGGTTTGCTAACAAAGGGTATGGGTGTGGTAGTGGCAACGTGGTGTTATTAGGTGTAGTTGTATTATAGCCATACCGCAGCAATAGCCTCACTTCCCCCCTCAACCCCCGCCTCTTGTCATATGATGATAATAAAAGATACGTTTATAAAAGTGTTATGGATGATGGTGTTGTTTATTGTATGTATGTGTGAAGGGCAGAGGCTAATTTACTTGTGTGCGTGTGGGTGTGTACTCGTCTTCTTCTTGCTGCTTCTTGCCCATTCAGACCTAACGCCGCAATGGTGGTTCGACATGGAAGCCCTCATTAGCAAGCGATGTGTGAAAAAGAGCGTGTATAAAGGTGAGTAGCGTGTTATTAGCGTGTAAAAGCCAACTTGCCTTTCTTCGTTGTGTATACTCATATGCATGTCTGTTACAGCTTTCCTGGTTCAGCAATGGCGACAATGGCAACCTTTGGGAGAAATGTGTAAAGAGATTCTGTTCAACAAGGACAACGGGCACTTTGCTGATGTGATACGCAAAACCACCTGAAAAGTATGCAGCAAAGGAACACGTTTTGCACTCTATCTCGACGAGCTTCTTACAATGAACATTAGCAGCCTTTATGCAGCGACCTAATCACGTGATACTGCAGCAAGATGGGGTCATGAAGCGGCATGGCAACTTCTAGAGATGGTATGTATAAAGCATAACGATATCCAAAGGATGGGAATGGATCATTGAGTGATAATGAATAGATTGAAACAGGACCATCTTGAACCAATATGATTGGATTTATTATACTTGGCCTTATGGATGGATGGGATGGCATCAAGCATAGCATGCCATGCAAGTTGTAACGATCCAACGCACGGCGGAGATGAGTTTGATCTTGCTCAAAGGTCCCACATGATAACCAAGCAAGCGATTGCATTCATTGTATCGGGTCATGGAAATATACTGCTTGGCTGGATGCACATGGTAGGTCTTCATTTCAATTGACTTTTTCCCCAAATACTAATAAAGGTCTTATGGTAGTATACATTGAAGACATTATGGGTCATCCATATCAGTAATGGTCCTTGCATATCGTGACATGTTACGCTTCCACCAAGATGTCCTGGGGCCAAAGTCAACAAGGAAACAAGCTCCCTTTATGTCCCGATATACCTGCATTGCACTCTCTTAAATGGCTGGTGACTCTCCCTGACTCTTTACTTTTAATCCTTGTCGACGTTCATCATTCAACACGTCCCCAAGAATTGATTATCAGCATCCGTATCGTGGTTACAGTATCTTTGAAACACCTGCTTTTGGCCATTGGTGCGTGATTCATCATCTGCACTCACCTTGACTACACAAAAGGTAAGCAAAATGGCAAATGGGTGTAGATGTTATGTGTAATCAAGGCATCTTACGAACTTACATAGACGCATGCATCGTTAAAGGAGGCATTGGCGTGTGGAATGGTATGATGAGGGCCGATCGGGGCAAGCTACAACGATCGGATGCTGGTATGAAGCAGCTAATCATCTTGGATTTTATTCATTAGACGACAAGATCGAAGCTGATGATGAATTTGAGCACCATGAGGATGATCCGGAATCGACCCAAGATATTGAGGAATCCATGGATACCGATTCTGATGTGGATATGGAATACCAAGGTGGTGTAGAAGAGATGATTGATAACGCTGTCATGGCTGTGTGGGATGGAGCCATTGAATCAGCGGTGCCGAATGCCATCTTGCAAGCCGCCAAAGCTGTGAAGTTGTAAAGCATGGTATTGACGCTTGCCAATGTCGGAAGGCTGCATGGATCTCATTGAACAGGAGGAATTTTCAGACCAACAACAACGTATTTTGGCGGCCACCATCTATCATCGTTTAGCCGAAATGGGGGGAAGCCGATCAATATGCAGCACATTTATACCAACAATTCTGTGTACATCAACTATTTTGGACGCCCCATTGTCGCATCGCTCTCTTGTCATCATCCTTGCACATGAATGAGATACCTATTGATTTTACAACACGCTTTCAACTTGTACACGTTCAACACATTGACAACGCCTTTGATGACTTTTTATCTTCTCAACATTTATGCGCCAGTTTTTGGTGCCTACTACTGGAAAGGCGATCCGGAGATTAGCCACAGCAGCTGGAGACTATGTACAACCACACTTGATGTTTCCAAAGTACATCCGATCGCCATCCATCGGATCAACAACAGCAACAATGCCTTCCATTAAGCCTCCCAAGTACGAAAAGGGGGATGATCTCACGACATGGACCCGTATTTATGATCAAATCGCTGAGATGAATGACTCGAGTAATAAGGAACGCCTTGTAAGGTGCCCTGTCTATTTATCTTCTGAATTGGTGACATGGGTCCTTTATCAAACTTACTCTACTTGGGATGATTTCTCAGAAGCACTGCAACACCCATGCTGCAGGTGGAAGGACACGATGCTGCTATACAATTATGACAGGGTGAAAGTGACCCAAGAGCCATTGGTTGCGTGAACGTGAATATGGTCAATATGATACTTGACGGTGGATGCGTACCATGCATTATCAGCAAGGGATTAGCTGATGCTTTGGAACTCGAGCTGAGTCCTGGTTCTACGTCTCTCGTTTTCGGTGATTGATGAGAAAAACAAGCTTCACATGCCAAGTCTCCAGTCACGATTTCAGTGGGGCCATCCAAATCGGTTGATGTCAGGACATTGTATTTGGATGTGGCCAGCTACAACTTTGTTGTAGGAAGAGAAGCTTTTGCCCAATTGACAATTGGCACCGATTGGGGACATCATTTTTGGTACGTTTTGTCTCCTCAAGGCACTATGCCCCTGAATGTGCAATACACGATGATACCTCAAGATGAATTGGTTATGAGGCCTCGCAATGCATTCAAAATCGTTGAAGTCGTTGAAGAAGACGAAGATGCAGATGTCGGATGGCAGCGTAGCGTGTGTAAATACTCGGCAATGATACTGATATCAGCGTGTCTTGGGTCGACCCATGGATCACGTTTCAAGCACCATTCAGCAAAACGTCACATTTGGAAAACGTTGAGGATATAGCCGTGAGATGCGATGATGTTGAAGAACCAACCTCCCATCTTGTGATCAACAAGGAGCAACAAGACGACTTTGAGGCATTGTTGGATGATGTACAGCCGCGTCAAGATTTGCAGCCGCGAGATAAGAATGCTTTGTTACCGGTTCTTATGAAGCATAGAGGGTGTTTTGGCAGCTCGTATGCCGACTTTACGCAAACGGATCTGGTGACAATTCACATTGACACGGGAGATGCAAGTCCAATCTATCGAAGTCCTTATCCTCATATGCCTCATTCGGAATTGGCAAGTCTTAAGGAGGAGCTTGAAACAATGGTCTCTAATGGGACACTCGTCCCTGCTATGCATGCACGCTTCAATTCTCGCAATAGTGGGTAGAGTTACCCATGTCGCTACGTTGCCAAAAAGGATGGAGGAAGACGTTTCGTTACACAGTTCCAAGATTTGAATAAGGTTACGGTTAGAGATCCTTGGCCACTACCCAACATTCAAGATCTGTTGGAGCGGCTTTCTAGCTCTTCCGTTTTCTCCACCATGGATCTACTTAAGGGGTTTCATCAAATTGCATTCAGCTGTACAGTGTTTTTTATCAACATTTGTATTCATCCGAGCCAACATCAGCTTCAGCCATGGCAACATTAATTGCACAATCAACCTCACACCTTCGTTTTGGATGATTCAGATCAAGCTCATTTGGTACGCGTATGTACACTTGAAGACCTTCAACATGCTGCATCTCGCACACCAGATGGATTACCATACCAAGCATGGCGATTGGTTTTCACCCACGCTTTGTATACTGCTGTAAGGGCAAGGTTTTGTATAGGGATTTGAAAGTTGGGTTTTGTGAGTGGACTTTAGATTGAGCACCACTTATAAGAGCAGGGTTTGATTTGGATGGTTTATTGGGTAATCTCAATGCGTGTATAACGTGGTTACAAGGAGATTGGATAGTGAGCACCAGATACTTTGTCTAAAAGTATCAAAGAAGATGAAGGGAAAGTGGGAGAGAGAAAGGTGGAGTGTGTAGTTTGTAGCCGAGTTGGGCAAAGGGAAGATGTTGTAATCGAGAAAGGGGTGAAAAGGTTGGGAAAGCAAAAAGTCAAAGGTGCCGAGGTTGGCTAGAAGTGATGTAAAGATGATTGGATCACCAAGTTTGTTGGGTGATGAGAGGGCCGATGTAGGCACAAGTAAGATTCAGATTGAAGATTCAAAGATAATGTGCCTCTGGCAGCGCTTTTTGGCTTGCGAGGGCTCGTAACAGAGATTCAGTTAAGATAAATTGTGAGCTAAGCTGCTGGTTTATTCATTTCATTCTGGGAGTTTATATATCTTTTGACGTCTAATCCTTAGAACGTTCGCATGGAAACAACGCATGCTTGATCCTTCATGTGATTGCCGCAGTAATGCACAATGGATATTGACACAGCTGTTGCATGAAAAAGCAAAAAGGAAATAATGAAATAGACATTGCACATCATTGGTGCAGGGTTAAAAATGGATACAATGGTGGGAGATACAACAATGTGGGGAAGCTTCTAATCTAACAATGATACAAAGTGGAGAGATACAATTGGTTCAAGGGTGTTTCTATTCTAAGGGTGTATTGGGAAAAGTGTAAGAAGATGATATGATGGAAAGGTGTCAAAGATGACAGCAGCACGTGGTCGTGCATGAATGATTGCTTGAGGATGGAAGAAGTGTGGAAAGGACACCGAGATTTCCATTGTTCCGAAAATAGATTGACAGGTTGCTGCGGTAAGGTGGTTGCCATGACAACATGGTTGCTATGATATAGCGGTTGCCAAGATATAGTGGTTGCTGCGGTAACTTTGTATGCGAAAACAGCATTGATTGATGGGTCAAAGTATACAAGATTGTCTCAAAGCCTTATTGACTCGCGCGTTGACAACAGACTAATAGCAATCTTATCACCGGTACTTTTGATACCTTACACCTCCCGGCGGCTCGCGAAATGTCGTCTCGACATTAACAAGTCGTCAAGATGTGATACACATCAATGATAAGCAACTTCACTTTATAGAGGTAACAAAAGGATACAAGATCCTCTTTATTGTAAAAGGGGCCTTATTGGCAGTTGAAGAGATGGGGGAGAGACGGGGAAGATAACGTATACATCACTTTTTTTTTTGTGTCTTTTGTCTTTTACAATTTTTTTTATAGGAGGGGTTATGGAGTCGACTACTTAGCCAACATTTTATTGATTGTAACGGTCACCGCGCATGGGCCACACCGCAATGGGTTCTCGTGGATCGTAAAACTGCAACATCATGTGTAGGTTTTCGGAGACAGCGCGTCTCACTAATTCTTCTTGCGTATCGCCTTGCAAAGCGTACAGAACGTTGATTTGATCTTGTTCTCGGGACACCAACTTGTAGTATTTGAAGATTCTTGATTTGTGGATACAGGTTAGATGGTGATGAACTTCCATCCAATAGTTAAAATCCGCCCTGGTGTATACATAGTAACCAGGCAGGCCCGGTATTTCCTTTGGTTGAAATGGACCATCTCCCCATGGGCTGGTTTTAGCGGGCTCGCCAGTAGCGTCGCACCTGAGCTCATTGTTGTCATTGAATTCGTTGGCGTCATTGAGTTCGTCGTTGATGCTGTTAGAATCAGCCGATGATGAGGTAGTAGAAGAAGAGGAGGAGGATGACATGGTGATGATGCTGATGAGGTGATGGAGATTGAGATAGTATTTCTTTCTCTTTATATATATTTTTCTTTTTATGATAATGATACATCAAAGGATAATGAATAGTAGTGTGTTTTTTTTTTCTTTCATTCTTTGTGAAGCTAATGGATATTGTATAATTGGGATACGTGTATACATTTTCTTTTCAGAAGGATAATAGCGCTATGGCAGAGAGTTGTATTGAATGGGGGTTGTTTCAGATCTGCATGCGTACACCGGTGGTATGCATTGGGTGTATGGGGTACAATGGGATAAAAGTAGGCGCAGCATGTTCACCAGTCATGAGTCGATATGCGTACAATCGCCATTCTTCTTGAAGAGAGTGGTCGTGGTCTTGATGATATGATGGATGTACAGCAGAGTCTCGTAATATGGATCCAATTTCGCCAGTAATGAGGTCGTTTGCTAAATGCATTTCGAGCATAGCTTCTCGATTTTGCATGATTCGTCGATGGAGGCATCGTAATCGTTGTACATCGTTGGGGGCAAGCATCATGATATGGTTTGCAACTTCAAAGGGGCCTTCAGTTGCATAGCGTGGTGGTACACCTTGGTCATCCACAACATTGGGTTGTGTGCTATAGTCATCCATATCGTTGGGTTGTTGAAGATACGATCTTTGTGGGCTCGCAACATAAACGTCTTCATGATGAAAAGATGTAGCTACCCTTTCTTGAGATGAACCTGATATAGTGGATGCGTCGGGCATGTCCTCATCGTCATCGTATTCGTACAACGTTTCTTGATCGGTATTCGGTGATTCTGGTAGTTGAGCGTTTCCAGAAATGATCCTTTGTAAATGACGTCGCCATTCTGGATCGTCTGCAGCATTTGTAAGTGCTTGTAATGCCTCATGGAAGTTTGATGGTCGATGCACAATTTGATTCTCCGGTATGGTTTGTAATAGATGTGGTATCAAAGGGGGTAGTGCGTGAAGTGTTTCTCCCCTTGGTGTGTTAAAGTGATCGGCCGCAGCTTGTAGAGATTCCCTCACCGGACTTGATAGTGGTGATATCGTCAAATGATATTCCGATGGTACGTTGTAGTTTGGTTGATTATCTGCAGGTGTGGCATTGGAGGTCGCCATGTCGAGTGTTTGTTGATGCGAGTGTGGGTTTGATTGCTTTTGATTTGATCTCGTCCTTGGTTTCAGATTTGATTTTGCTTTGATAGTTTGGATTTGCTTTGATAATTTGGGTTTGCTTTGATGTTTGGATTGCTTTGATGGACGTGGATTGACTTTGTATGATTGAAGTCTCGCTTTTATACGTCGTCTCGCTGGTCTGTATTCCCTCAATCGTTGTTTTCGTATGGCAGATTGTAGATGTCTCAGCGTGATCTTTGCTGTATTTGTTGTTGTATTTGTTGTTGTAATGAGGATGGTAAGGTAGGGATCTCAATGATGGGCCGCAGTCGTGTAAGACCTGGTGGTGTGGAGTAGCCATCCGTATCACTGGTATCGGTTGTTGTTTCGTCATTGGAATGATCATTGTCATCAGATGAGCTGCTGGTGATTTGATTTGCATTATCTTGTGTTTCAGGAAAGATGGATGCATGATGCTGCATTGTCCTGCATTCCGTGTGCGGTAATCGATATATCTTCATGCGATTGCCATGTACTGGTCCTGGTAGTGTGTCGCCGTTGAGCGTCTTGAGAATGTATGTGCCTCGCCGTTTGACCTTGTGTATGATGTATGGTCCATCCCATTGCTGCCAAAGCTTCGAAAGCTTGGAATCCAAGCTTGAATTGTATACAAGCACGTGGTCGCCAATGTTGAATGGGGGTTTAAGCTCTCTTTTGGTGGATAAGATTTTCTTCTCGAAACGTCTTTTTTGGGTCTCCTGAGACTTGCAAATAGCCTCTAATGCTTGTGCTCTGATTTGTTTGATTTGCTCTATGTGGCATTTGAAATGTGCTATGATCTCTTTTATTTGCTTTTCTTCTTTTTCTGCTTCTTTTTCTATTTCTTTTTCTGTTTCATCTTGATTTTCATCCTCATCTAAATCTTCATCATCATCGTCATCGTGATCCTCCAAATGTCGGTCCAAAGGTGAATGGGGGTCTCGACCATAAGTGAGGAAGAATGGGGTGTGTTTTGTTGATTTGTGTCTTGTGGTCCTGCTTGCATAGACGATTGCAGGCAAATAGAGATGCCAATCTCGCTTTTCTTCTTCCGGTAGGGTACGTAGGATTTGCCCGAAAGTTCGATTCCATCGTTCGATGTTTGCATTGGTCTCCGGGTGATAGGTTGACGCCAATTTGTGTGTGATCGAGTATTGTTGACAAACGGTAGCAAATATTTCGTTTACGAAGCTTTTGCCGTTGTCAGTTATGATGTATTTGGGAGTCGAATGTTGGCAAATGATTCTTGAATAAAGGAAGTATGAAACTTCAGTCGCCGTGATGTATTTGAGTGCTTTAGCCTCAAAGAATTTAGTGAAGAGACAAATCGCCGCAATAACGTATTTGTGTCCTGCTCGAGATATGGGTACATGCTTGATGTCCATGCTGATTTCTTGAAAGGGCTTCTCCGATACAGGTATTGGGTGTAGTTGCTCTTGTAACATTCGATTTCCTTGTTTTTGGCACCGATCGCATTGTTGTATGTATTGCTTGATGTCGTTTCCCATTCTTGGCCAATAGTAACGCCGTCGTATACGATCCAGGGTGTTCTTGAATTTGTAATGTCCCGCCAAAGGATGTTGATGTTCGCTCCAAATGATGCTATTGACTTGATCTTTGGTGACAACTAATCGCGTTTGTGGTCCTCGCCGATAGAGTTGTTCGCCTTTCACGAAGTAAAGTCGACTTTGACTTGTAATCGTCTTCTTTGATGCTGTTGTGGTATTCGGTGGGTATTCGAGTGTCTCCAAGTAATGTTTAATGCCGTTGTATAGGTTGTCGTCCATTGGTGGGTGATGGTGTATCGTAATGCGGATGATGGTGGGTGTAACAAATAAATGATGCTCTTTTTCTTTTACGTGGCTTCTCTTTGTTTTCCTTTCTTTTTCAGGTCTTCCTTTTTTTTGTATACGCTGTTTTTCCATTATGTCTTTTTTCTTTCCAATGCCGTCGCAATGCTGTTCAGTTCAACAATGCCGTTATCGTGATGGTGATTTCAATAGCCGAGACGTGACAAAAAGTCAGCGTTGTTATGGACACGTCCAGGTCGATATTGTGTCTCGAATTCGAATTCGCTAAGGAATGCTATCCATCTTGCAAGTATGCCGGTAGGATTCGGTTGATTCAATAGTCCTCGCAAGGCAGAGTGATCGGTGATGAGCTTGAACTTCTTTCCAAGTAAGTATGGCCGTAGTTGTCTGATAGCCCATACAGCAGCAAGACATTCTAACTTTGATATGCCGTAGTTGGACTCAGCCTTGTTCAATCCTCGAGAGAGATACAGTATGGGTCGTTCCTTGTTATCATCGCCAAGTTGTGATAGGACAGCGCCTAGTCCTTCGCGTGATGCATCGGTTGCCAATATGAAAGGTTTGTCAAAATCAGGTCGCGCCAATATGGGTGGTGTTGTGAGGGCCGTCTTTAATCGTTCAAAGGCTTCAGTCGCCTTAGGTGTCCATGGTGTGTCTTCTTTCTTGGTCAAGCTATGTAATGGTCTTGCAATGCGGGCAAAGTTGGGTACGTGCTTTCGGTAGAATGAGCAAAGGCCAAGAAAACTTCTCAATTGGGTCACGGTCTTGGGTCGTGGAAAGTCTTTTATCTTGCTAATCTTTTCTTCATCAGCCCCAACGCCGTCAGCTGTGATGATGAATCCAAGAAATTGTAGACTCTTCTTGAAAAATATGCACTTGTCGGGATTCAAGGTAAAATTCGCCATGCGTATGCAATCAAATGTTTGTCGCAAATGATTGATGTGCTCCTTTGGTGTCTTTGAATAGATGTTGATGTCGTCGACATATGCCACAACACACTTGTTGATAAGAGGTCGCAAACAAATGTCCACAAGTCGTTGGAATACTCGAGGTGAGTTGGCACATCCTTGTGGTAATACGAGGTTCTCATACACGCCTTCTTTACAAACAAAGGCTGTTTTCTCAATGGAGTCAGGGTGTAGTGGCACTTGGTTGAATCCGGATCGTAAGTCGAGTGCTGAAAATATCTTTGCGTTGCCGAGTGCGTCCAACAGGTCATCGATACGTGGTAAAGGGTAAGAGTCTTTTTTGGTCACCGTATTAAGTTTTCGATAATCAATGACTAATCGATAATCGCCGTTCTTTTTCTTGACTAAGATGACTGGTGATGCCCATGGTGATGTTGATGGTCGTATTACACGCAATTTGCAAAGCTTGTCAAGTTCTTGTTTCAATGCGTCTGCTTCAACTGGTGCTAATCGATATGGTCGTGCTCGAATGGGTTGTACATCTTCGGTTTCGATTTTGTGGTGCATGAGATGGGTACGTCCAAGGTTTTGTCCATCCCAATCAAAGATGTCTTGATATTCACCAAGAAGCTTGTATAGATCGTCTTTGATTTCAGGATCGTCAATGTCGGGTGGTTTGAATCGATCTCGATATTCGTCCGGTAGCTGCTGAGTCTTCGATTTTGGCGTTTGTAATTCTTCTTGATTGTCGTCATCTCGAATGAAATGGTAAGTCCCGATAAAGCTTGGGTGCGGAATGATCAATGGAGCATTCAATTCATTGACAATGGTGATCTTGAATTCCGTTTCACCAGGTTCGATGTCTCGTCCAAAATAGTGGTGGTGGAAATGCTCTGGTCGCATTCCCTCTTCAGGTTTGAATCTCAAATGAAAGTGGACAGGTGCTTCCATTTCGCCGTATATGTGTACTTGATCTCTTGGAGGTATAGTGATGTTGGCGTGCGATATGACCTCATAGGTTTGGGCTTGTGGATTGTATTTTCCTCTCATTACGTGGGTGTCGTTTGTTGAAGCCGCCGTTGTCATTGGGAATAGCTCTTGTGAATGTTCGTCTCGTGTCGTTGTGATCAATGTGGATTGTGCAGGAGGTGCGAATTCATATCCTATAGCACTTTCAACGTCGTCATTTGGTATTCGATCAGGTACGTAGTCGCCAATGGGTTCTCCATAATAGATGATGAGGTCCTCCGTTCGATTATTTTCGATGAAGATTGTGAATCGTGTATCGCCGTTTGATATGGGGTTTCCGGATATGCGCCGATCAATGGTAACGTATGGTACACCAGGTGATTCGAATATCATGTCTTCTGATGCTTCCATTGGTAGGTTGCCAATAATAATTTCTGTTTCGCCAGGTGGGACTCGGATGTCGTATGGTGCGTATAGACCGTAGAAGATAGTGTCATCTTCAATAAAAGCTTCTGCTTCTACTTCAGGCTTCTCTTCTGGATCTTGTTCGAGAAAATAAATGCTATCCGAGCTTTCGTTTTGTGTGTCGCCATCTGTTGTAGTGCTTGAAGAATCATCTGAATCGCTTGATGAATCACTTGAGGGATAGTCTTCAGATGATGTTTCGGATCCATTGTCGCTGCTGTAAAGGATTCCAGGGGTACCTCCAGGGTATGGTTGCTTGCTAAACCGGTCTTGCTGCGCCTTGATGATTTCTTTTACATACGAAATAGGAATGCTAACTTGCACTTTTGCCACACGTAACGAGAGAGTCTTTTGAGCAAAATTGATTATTGCATGTGCGCGAGTAAACCAATTGTTGCCAACAATGAGTGGTACAGGGCATCTGCCAAGTACTTCAACATTTATGGGTGTAGTGATTTTATTCCCAGGTCGTAAAGGTACATCAAAGATAATTCCTAATGATGCTTGTTGTGTGGCATTTCCTAATGTAAATCTAGCACTAGAAGGAGCATTGATTTTCAATCCGATGTCGTCTGCAAATGTTCTTGATATGCAGGTCATGGATGCGCCGGTGTCGATTAATGCACGTACAGGGACTCCGCAAACGTAGAACGTTGCATAAGCTGCCGTTGATTCAAATGTCCGCTTTTGGCCATCAATCAGTGTCAGGTTTTGGGTAGGTGGTGTTGTCGCTTTATCGTCTTTAGGCTTTGGCTTCTTCCTTCGGATAGACGTGGCTCCATGTAGTTGTCGTCTGATAGCAGGTACCAATTTTACGAGGTCTTGTATGGTGATGTTTGCTACTCGACTCATGACATCGTCGACAACATCATAATCGATAATGGGTTTTTCACGTGGGACCCGTTTCTTTTTAGGTTTCGTGTGGCTGACTCCTGCTTGCGTTGCTTGGGTAACTCTTGTTGTGGGGGTGGCTTCGGACATTTCTGTGTCTCTTGTTTCCACTTGTGTCGTTCTCCTTGGTACCGTGCTTGTTGATCGTACTTCTGGAATGGTGCGTCTTGTTGATGCCGATTGTTGGTTGGTAGGTGTAGAGTGCTGTGTTGATTGATTTGGAGCTGGTCGTTGTGGACTTGTTGACTGAACTGGTACTGATTGCTGTATGTTTGATGGTCCAGCTTGTTGTACGGTTGACGATTCGACTTGCGTGGGCGTATTGACAGCTTGTATGCCCTGACTTTGTTGGCTTTGTGGTGGTTCGATGTATTCTTCATCATCGGCAAACGTGATATTCCTTCTTGCAGGCCTTGATGGTTTCATTGCTCGATGTGATTTTGGGTCCCAACGCGTACGATCTCTTTGTTCGCCATTCGATCTCGTTTTATATCCGGATGCGTATAAGTCGTGATCATCATTGTACGAATCCATTGGGTTTTCCTCGGGATCAAGTAGCATGTAATTTGGCTGGGTAATTATGTCGTAATCGTTGTCGTTGTGATAATAAGGATCCTGATGCATTACATTATCGTAGAGGTCGTCTTCTTGTGGAACGCAATATGGTGGCTCATATGCGTATGCATCATCTTCGTTGTATGGATCAAAGGTATAGAGGTCTTGTTGATGGATTCTTTGTGATTGGTGCTTATTGTAATGTTCAGGGCTCCAGCGAACGGTTTTGGTGTGTTGAGGGGCTATGGATCGACCGCTCTCAGCGATCCGCCCCATTAGTTTTTTGGCTGTTGGGTGGATGGCCATTCTTGATACATGTCGCCAGAGTATCTTGCTTGATCGTAATAGTCGCCATCGTCTTCGAAGCATTCCTCCTCGTATGGATATCGGTGATCCCATTCTTGGTATTGAGGATGGCCTTGTTGCTCGTGGTATGTCTCCGGATAGTATTCCAAGTGGGCGAAGTTTTCTTGCTGTGATTGTCTTGAGCTTCCATTTTGGGGTGATCCTTCTTGGTTTTGGTTCGGTCGCCTATTATCCTGGTATTGGGGTCTCCTTGGTTCTTGCTGCTATGATTGCCGTACTTCATCTTGTTGTCTTGGAGGTGGTCGTTCTTGTCGCCGATCATTTGGTTGATAATTATTGTATCGCCGATTGTCGTATCGCCTTTCTTGTTGATTCCATGATCCTTGGTTCCTTGGTCCCTGATTCCTTTGTTCTTGATTCTTTGTTCCTTGATTCCTTGGTCCTTGATTCCTTGGTCCTTGATATCTCGATGCTTGGTTCCTCGATCCATATTCTTGAAATGATCGCCATTGTGGATATTGGTTGCTTGAGGATGTAGTCGTTGGATCAATTTCTGAAAACCGCAATTGTGGTCGTGGTCTTTGGAAAGCTTGTGGTTGATATGGCTCCGGTTCTTGATATGGATGTCGATATTGGCTTTCGGGTTGTGTCTCGATGTTGGTGAACATTGCACGTTCATTTCGTCTTTGTTGCTGGTGATATGATGAGAAGTCGTCACCAATGCGTTGTGCTTCCCAATATCCTTCGGCCGTATTGAAGACTTGTTCATGCGTGATTGCTTGTAGTAGGATACAATGTCGTTTGATTTCAGGTAATAACCCGGATTTGAATCTTGACTTGATGAGAATCTCATCGGTGACATTTGCTTCATAAGCTAGTTCTCGAAGTCGTCCAAGAAATGATCGTGGACTCTCATTGTTGCGTTGTGTGGAGGTCTCGAATCGGTTGCGAAAGCGAAGGATGTCGTACTCCGTGACATAGTGGTCTTGAAGATCTTCCAATGCGTCAAAGTACGAGACGCTGAATCGTATGTCGGTCTCGTCAGGTGTTTCAACCTTGTATTTGGGCTTGATGACTCTTTCAAAGTATGCCAAAGCTGGTCCCCGTAATACTGCTTGAAGGACATTGACTCGTCTATGGTTTGTATCAATGCCGTTTATGAGGATGAATGACTCCAAGTCACGCCGAAAGTGTCGAAAGTTTTCATGTTCCAATCCAGAGAATGATAATGGTGGTAGAGGTAAGAGAGCGCTGGTGCGTGGATCCAACACAGTAAGTTCGCCAGAAGTCGTTTGATTTGTCGCCATGGTGAGGTAGGATTTGTGGTAGAGTAGTTTGATTTGATTGACAATAAATGTCTTGAGGATTGCCTAGTAATGCTTGTCTGGAGAGATATCGCTTGTTGTCTTTAATATCTCACCCCTGTAGTGAGCACCACGTGTAAGGGCAAGGTTTTGTATAGGGATTTGAAAGTTGGGTTTTGTGAGTGGACTTTAGATTGAGCACCACTTATAAGAGCAGGGTTTGATTTGGATGGTTTATTGGGTAATCTCAATGCGTGTATAACGTGGTTACAAGGAGATTGGATAGTGAGCACCAGATACTTTGTCTAAAAGTATCAAAGAAGATGAAGGGAAAGTGGGAGAGAGAAAGGTGGAGTGTGTAGTTTGTAGCCGAGTTGGGCAAAGGGAAGATGTTGTAATCGAGAAAGGGGTGAAAAGGTTGGGAAAGCAAAAAGTCAAAGGTGCCGAGGTTGGCTAGAAGTGATGTAAAGATGATTGGATCACCAAGTTTGTTGGGTGATGAGAGGGCCGATGTAGGCACAAGTAAGATTCAGATTGAAGATTCAAAGATAATGTGCCTCTGGCAGCGCTTTTTGGCTTGCGAGGGCTCGTAACAGAGATTCAGTTAAGATAAATTGTGAGCTAAGCTGCTGGTTTATTCATTTCATTCTGGGAGTTTATATATCTTTTGACGTCTAATCCTTAGAACGTTCGCATGGAAACAACGCATGCTTGATCCTTCATGTGATTGCCGCAGTAATGCACAATGGATATTGACACAGCTGTTGCATGAAAAAGCAAAAAGGAAATAATGAAATAGACATTGCACATCATTGGTGCAGGGTTAAAAATGGATACAATGGTGGGAGATACAACAATGTGGGGAAGCTTCTAATCTAACAATGATACAAAGTGGAGAGATACAATTGGTTCAAGGGTGTTTCTATTCTAAGGGTGTATTGGGAAAAGTGTAAGAAGATGATGTGATGGAAAGGTGTCAAAGATGACAGCAGCACGTGGTCGTGCATGAATGATTGCTTGAGGATGGAAGAAGTGTGGAAAGGACACCGAGATTTCCATTGTTCCGAAAATAGATTGACAGGTTGCTGCGGTAAGGTGGTTGCCATGACAACATGGTTGCTATGATATAGCGGTTGCCAAGATATAGTGGTTGCTGCGGTAACTTTGTATGCGAAAACAGCATTGATTGATGGGTCAAAGTATACAAGATTGTCTCAAAGCCTTATTGACTCGCGCGTTGACAACAGACTAATAGCAATCTTATCACCGGTACTTTTGATACCTTACACTGCTTTGGCCCAAGAAATTTAGGAAGATGCTTTGCAACAAGGTCCTTCTCCAAAATCATGGATCGATACATGATTGTGCCTTTTTTCAAAGAAAGGGGATCTCACAAGCGTCAGCAATTGGAGACCCATCTCATTGATTAATTGCGATGCAAAGATATTCACACGGCTATTGAACGAAGGCATCACCAATGCTGCTTCATCCTTGATGCCTGCTCGCTTGATTGGTGTCAATGGACTGACGACTCGCATTGCTATGGAACAAGCTTTACAAGACGGGTCATCGAAACTTGGTTTGCTTTTGAGTCAGGAGAAAGCATTCATTTGGAGTGCCTTCGAAAGGTCCCGTTGGAGATATCGTATGTGCAGCAATGTATCTCCTATTGCTGGTATCATTGAAGTCATCTTCCCCAACATCCCCGCTATCCACCTGCATGTGCGTGCTTCCTTCATAGCTTGCTTGATCCTGATAAGAAGATTGGCCATCTTGTCCTTGGGAACACTTATCATCATGGTGGATGTGTTGAAGTGAATCCCAAATAATCCTGGATGTGTGACGGTGTCAAACAGCTTTTCTTCCAGTTGATGATGAAGCCCAGCTCCAACAATTGAACAATCAAGATTGGGAAGCATCTTCTCCTCTATCCTCACAAGCGATATAAGAGCTGAATTGGTGGCAGCAAATGGCAAGGTCAAGGAATGGATTACCAATGCATCCGAAGGATATGGAGTCCCCTACCGTAACAATCGATGCAGATGCATCAGATACTGGTTGGGGAATAACCAGCAACGAGGGCGATCTTTACAGGATTTGGAGCGAGCAAGAAAAGGTTTTATCGATCAATGCACGCCAATTTGCTTTGTATTGCTTTGGGTTTCCATCGCCTACATTCATGCTATTTGCTCCTTGTTCTTCTCAACATCGATCCATATAAACATCAATGGCCATATAGCAGCACCTATTCAACAGCTACGTGGATTACTTCAAGGAGATCCTTTGTCGCCTATCTTGTTCAATCTGCCTCTTGAACCATTTTACGTGCTATTGTTGGTGACATCAATTTTCAAAGCTTCCTACCTTGGTACGATACACCATCTACACATGCCCCAAAAAGATCAAGGTTGGCAACAAGTTTGGAACCCCATTTTCTTTGCTGACCCCGATCTCCCGTCACTTTATGAATGCTGCTTTCGACTCGCTTTCCTGGTTCAACCCAACATCAACAACAACAAGCGATTCTTTGTACATACATCCTCCAAGCGATATGGGGCACACATTGGAATTCCATATATAACAATCACACCTTTCTTCCAACTGAAGTGCCAGCTTACGCTAGCCACTTGTTTCTCACGTTATGTGTTTAGAATAGATATTCCGCCTACAGTATTTAGATTTCCTTCTCTTATGTATCCCTTATCACCTTTTTGTAACTGTTGCGGCTACGTCACAATGTGGTACGAGGTCGCATTCCAATAAATGCCTACGGGATATACCCAAAAAACGTTTCAAGATCGCACTCATCATTCTTAAATTTCGTGTTAGCCACCACCTGCCAAAATGAATCAGGCCAACCTCTTGAAACGATATATATAGTAATGTCATTGCATAGTTGTGGGCTATGTTTGAGTTAAACCATCAGCAAACGATCGTCAAGTAAAGATTGTACATAGTGAATAGCGAATTGAGGATTAAAACAAACCACTCCACAATGTGAAATCCATGCTGTTGAGTGAGCTTGAAGCATACGTTGTAACGAATCTCCCATTCCGGTTGTATCGACATGGGTTTCTTGTAGGCATAAACTATGATAAGGAAGGCTTCTTAAAATTCTTGCGTATTGCTTTCCAGCTGTTGTGCAGAGCATCTTCTTGAGGTCGCGACAATTCAATGTTGCCACGGTGATCTCATGGGCAACCGGTGTTATAATCCGTTGGGTAGGGTGGAAGAGGATCTTCCCCCACCACAATCCATGTCGTGATCAGCAATCTGTAAGAGAATCTTCATGGTGATCATCATCTGCCAACAAGGCATCGATTTGTGAATCATCCATGCATGTGTTTTGATCTTGAAAAGGTTTGGTCTTGGGACGTAAAGAATACGAATGGCCTTGCGTGTTCTTGGAGGTAGATGCAGCATCATCCCCAGATGTCACATCCATGTTCGAAGCTGTATTGGGCAGAGGTGTCTGATCCAACCTATTGTTTACATGTATCGATATGAGCATGGAGTTGGCTGACCAATATTTGATTGTATGACGCACGGCGTGGAATCCCGACCGCTGCACCAGAAAATGAAACTTGATCACTTTCTCTCTTCCAATTCGCAACGAACCATCATGTAGTGATATATGATTCACTAAAGAGCATCAGTTGTGAGAGTGAAACACCCTACTTCTTGAACATTTTTGGTGGGCACCGACAAGCGCGAAATTTGAGATTGACGAGTTCCATCCTGAAACTTGAACGCAAGATACTTTTGATCATGCAGAGCACGTTGGTTCTACTAAAGACACCATGCTTCATTGAAAGCTTTTGCGATACAGGCGCGTGTACGTTTTGTAAAGCGATGCTATTATAAAAGACATCTTTTTCAATTGTGATTCATATGTACGTTTATAGTGAGATAGGTGCGAAAGATGGTATTTGTATACGAAAGCGAAGAAAAAAGGATTAAAAGAACCAATGTATCATATGTACTCACTTGCTGATGGTCATTGATACTTCGCTAGCTATCAGCCGATTCCACCCAAATTAAGCACATTGTGGATTTGACAATGTGTGGTGAATGCGGCTCCTCCAACGTTTCGTTCGATGGTTTAATTACATTGATCCAAGCCGATTTGCATGAGCTACGCTTAAACCAGGTTTTGTCTAGTGGATACACCTGTATACGTTGCATGTTGGATCCGATGTACCTGTTACGTGGCCGTAATTTTCTCAAATCGGCTCGGATCAAAGCACTTGAATATAGGAAATGAATCTTTGGAGCAGGTGCATTTTTCCTATAGTATCGAATCTACAATGGGTTGAATTGGGTGGAATTGGCTGATAGCTAGCAATGTATGAATGACCATCAGCTAGTGAGTACATATCATCCATTGCTCTTTTAATGCTGTTTTCTTTGCTTTCTTACCCAAACACGGCCTCGTGCAGCTATTGCACTTAACGTGGGTATATGAGTGTCAATTGAAAAAGACGACTTTGTCATATAGGATCATCTTTACAGTGACCCACAAAATTGTTCAAATATTTTGTACTTTTGCATAAATCGTTTCCTGGCGCATTGCCATGCATATAGAACATAGTGATATTATACATCATTCGATAGCGTATCTAATTGGGCACATAATGCAATTCACGTGATGTGTGGAACATTGAAATTCATGCAGCTAGCGGGGAATCAATAGCGTCGATACACTTGAACAATTTTGAGGGTACTTCACCAATATTACATAAATGAACATCTACAACATGTGGAGCCTTTATTCTTTATAATGTTATTGATAAGCCACTAATAAAAGTTTTTACTGCCTTGAGCATGGCCTAGGCCCTTTTCCCTTCGACTTCACTTATAAGTAACTTTTATTATGCGTCCAATCAGTAACCAGAAGAAAGAGGATGTGAAACATCTTCTACAACAAGGTACACCATACCGCGAAATCTCTACACTCACTGGTGTCTCCCTTGGAGCTATTCGAGCTATTCGAAAGGACCTGAATGTCGACATTGAACCTAATGGAGCTGGTCGAAAGCGCATAATGTCAAGCAATGACATTCGTGTTGTCATTCGGAAACTCGTAACTGGCGAATACAAGAGTGTTGAAGACGCAAGCCGTCAGCTCCGAGCTACCTACCCCAACAAGGTGACCCCAAGTGCTGAAACGATTCGTCGTGAAATGAAGCGTCTCAATTACACCGCAATTAAGAAGCCCAATGTGTTGCCATTGACCCGATCGCGTCGCAATGCACGATTCCGGTTCGCGCAAGCATATCGTTCTTGGACTGTAGAGGACTGGAAACGTGTTGTTTTCAGCGACGAGACAAAAGTGAACCGTTTGGGAAGTGATGGCCTTCATTGGACTTGGATTGATCCTGATGGCAAATTACGTGAACGCAATGTTATCCATACATATAAGCATGGTGGCGGAAGCATCATGATCTGGGGCTGTTTTTGTTGGTCAGGGCCCGGGTTTATCACCAAAATTCAAGGAACCATGAATGCCGACCTCTATTGCAGCATTTTGGATGATGAATTCAAGCAATCATTGGAATATTACGGCCTTGAAGTGAATGACATCATCTTTCAGCAAGATAATGATCCTAAGCACAAGTCCCGGAAAGCCACCCAATGGTTCCAGGATAATGGTGTTGAGGTCCTACCATGGCCATCGTACTCTCCAGACCTCAATCCTATCGAACATATGTGGGCAGAGCTCAAACGCAAGTTGCTTCTCTATGATGAGCCTGCTAAGTCCATGACCGAGTTCTGGGAAAGGGTTTCCTATACCTGGAACAAGTGTATGACGAAGGAATACTGTGAGAGACTCATAGAAAGCATGCCACGACGTATAGAAGCCTGTTATAAAGCAAGAGGAGGCTATACTAAGTATTAATAAAACATGTTCTAGTTCCCCTCAAAATTGTTCAAGTGTATCGACTCTATTGATTCCCCGCTAGCTGCATGAATTTCAATGTTGCACACATCACGTGAATTGCATTGTGTGCCCAATTAGATACGCTATCGAATGATGTATAACATCACTATGTTCTAAATGCATCGCAATGCGCCAGGAAACGATTTATGCAAAAGTACAAAACATTTGAACAATTTTGTGGGTCACTGTACAGGATAAAGAGAGCCATAACTCAAAATGCCACAATGAAGCATGGGCTCTTTTTGTGACCAACATGCTCATCCTAGCTCAAGCAACCTTGTGTGCCAGTTTCAGGATCGAACTCGTCAATCTTAAATTTGACCATGTCACCACCCGCCAAAATGAAGAGAGGTCAACCTCTTGGAACTTTTTGGCTGGCATGGACAAATGCGAAAATTGCTATTGACGAGTTTGAGCTTCATACTTTCACACAAGGTACTTTCGACCATGCTGCGAATGCTCGTTCCAAAACGAGCCCATGCTTCATTGTGAGATTTTGAGTTACAGGTGAGTGTATAGATGGCGAAGTAACAATGTAGTGAAGGCTTTAAAGTAGAGGTCCCATATAGTAATATGGAGTGAGTGTTGTGGTAATAGAGAAAAGGATATCATTGTTGACTGGGACACGCGTCGCAGAGGTATTTACGCTGGGACCGAATTACGCATAGTACCGGAGATTACGATGAACCTAATAAAAATCTGTTCATTCAAAGCAAGCAAGTCGCTATCTAAAGGGATATCAACTATGTCCTTGGATAGTAGCGGTTATCGTCATTCACCATATCAGTTTGGTTTTTGTCCTTGTGTTTGCCTTATTCCTGGTGGGGTTTATACGGTGTGATCCATCATACTAGATTGAGCAACAAACAGAGCCCACCTCATGTCATAGTTATTCTCTATCAGGATGCACGGGGATTAAAAACTAATCATGTATGCTGCATCATGGGCGGCATTGTTGGCGATTGAATGCCGATGCTTCGTATACACGCTTAAGCCTAATGCAATGTATGATCTACTATAATAAATCGGGCATGCTTTATTATCCATGAGCTTATATATGTATGTATGGTATCTACAAGTAGTATTATTATTACAAGCAGTATACTGATTTAGAGATCTGGCAAGGCATTGATGACCACCACCAGTGTACAAGTGCTCCTGCTACCAAAGAGCGATGCCTCCATAGTAAGTTGACGATAGCTGCAAGCCGGCCATGTTTCCCACCGCATTGTCCATAAATACGGCATCCACTATCCTATGTTCCAGGTATTAGTATTCATGCTGGCAAAGGGCAGCCCGCATCCTTCATACTTACAATGTCCTTGCCAATACACATTCTCCAACTGTATGCTTGTTTCCATCGCTTGGTCATTGATAGAGGTTATCCTTCATCCTTGCCTCAGACATTAGTGCTCCTTAATGTCCTTGATTGGGTGTTGTGTCATCGACTTGATATGCCCTCATTGGATTCAAAGCAGCTTTGACGTGCATAGTGGTCAATCTATGGATGATGATGTCAGCAATAGCAGGGTAAAGAAATGACCCGGATGTACTTACCCGTAATCATGAAGAGCCCGTATATGCTTTTGTGTATCCTTTCACTTGTGCCAACATAAGGCCATTTGTGGTCAAACACCGATACCAGCGTGATCCAAGTTCTCCTAGCACAGTTCTTGCAAGTCCCACTTTTCTTCTTTTTTCTTCTTTTTTTCTTTTCTTCTTTTTCTAGTAGCCCACAATGAGAATCCACTTTTCATCATTGAAAACGCCAATCATATACATACTTGTCTTTCAGGCTCTCTTGATTTTGATGATGTTGAATGCCAATCCTTATTTGAGTGATGGTCGAGATTGTTGAGCAGATTCAGCACGGCACCCAACGGCCAGGCGACTCTTAATCGGTGGACGCACGGTGCCCTGTGACCCTGAACGACAAAGCGATACATATCCTCCAGACCGGTCTTGATGCCATTGACGTTTGTTTCTCGGCTTGTTTGTTTCTATAACACCATTGTTAATACATTGACCTTACATATACCCCAATTCACCTAACGATACTTGCTTTGATGTTTGTGTTTGTGATTGATTGAGCGCTTGTTTGAATGATTGATGAACGTGTTTGCGCGTAAGAGATAGAGATAGAGATAGAGAGAGAGCCATAGATTGATTTGTCTTCAAATATATATGTGGAATCTTGCAATTGCTGTGCTTAGGAAATCCAGAATCGATCGCCAGAACCGCTGTGATATGGTACAGACATTCCATGATTGCATCTATGTAATGATATGGTAAGCGTCATGGTTATAGGTGGGCTTTGGAACCATATACGTACGTTTTGAATGGTCGATCCTTGGTTGGTTTGTTCTTGACTTTGAGTGCAATGTCGACCATGTTGATTTGGTAATAAGATTTGGGTCTTCGTCATGTTGTCCGTAACCGTGCATGGACCTCCAATGATAGGAAAAGGTCCACAGACCACCAGTAATGTTTGTATTGATATGGCTTTGTGGAGAAGATCCAGACTTGAATGATGATAACAATCGTGGTTGATACTGTGAATGCTCTTGCGACGCCATATGATCCATGTGTGTATGGGTCCAAGCCTTCTTGATGACATAGAGTGTAGATGGTGACAAGAATTGATATAAAGTCGTAGCATGTGCATTGGTTCCAATTCGTCCCCCATTTTGAAAGCATAGCAACCAATAGCATGCTCTAGCCAACACGAGATGAGATGTCCTCGCCATCCGCTACCATGTATGTGCTGTGAATCGTGACCACCGCCAATAGCCACTCCTGCAAATGCCAATAGTAATCCGCCCCTCATGCCATTGAATTGGAATATCTTGATGATGCCGAATTATAATAGGAACGCCTCCTCGAAAGATCATTTTGATGCATATGCCGCCAATGCGATATCATGTGAACATAAAGAGACACCTGCAGTTGTGCCTTGGTTCCCCCATGGGCCATAAAACCATGGTGATAGTTGTGTGTTGCCAATCAATCCAAGTGATAAATGCCACCAGTGTCCAAAAGACCCTTTCGATAACCATCCTTGATGCCATAGGTATGAATCTTCGCAATTGTAGCCATAACAATGGTGACGTGATCAAAGTCAATGCCTTCCTCAATGCCATTGCGTTGCCATCCGTGTCATTCTTTGGCGGATGTAGAGTACAATAGGCCAACTCCTCATCGTGTTGCTGCTACCACCATGATGCCAATAAAACGAGAGCGTGGTGAGCTGCATCTTGATGCCATAGCCATATATCGCATCACTGAGAGGAGCACCAACTGCTGAAACACGCAGGATCGTATGCACGTGGATCAAAGATAACAGCAGCATCGCAACGAATCATCTCATCGAATAAAGAAAATGAAGCCCTTGTGCCTTGATGCCATGCCAATAAATGCCCAAATTCAGTGACACCACCAAGTGGATTGAAAAAGACCCCGCTGTGCCTTGACCAATGATGATAAATAACCCTCATAGGTAACGCCGCCAGTAGAAGGGAAAAGGTCTTGTTTCCTCTGTAGCCATGGCAATAAATGTGTCCCACCAGTAAAACGAAAAACAATTCCTTGCGTCTTGTCGCCTTGGTAATCAATGTGTTCAAATTGGTAACTACTGTATGCCAGTAGAATGAAAAGGAACTCCTTTGCTCTGTTGCCATGACAATGAATGTGTCCAAATAGGTAATAGCGCGAATAAGATGCATGCAATGCGATGTCGTTGTGTTGCAGCCATGGCGATAAATGTGTTCAACGTGACAATAGCACCGATCCAGTATTCTTGAAAAGAGACACCGTTTGCTTTGTAGCCATGATGATAGCCTCTTAATATGTCGCAATGCCAATGAAAGGAGTGAGAGAAAGCTTGAGACTTGTAACCATGGCAGCCCAGGTCTTCGGCTTGCCGATGGCACCAGTAAAAAGAAAAGAGAACCCTTGCGCCTTGTTGCCATGACAACGATGGCTCGATACGATTGCACCATCGATAAAAAGAAAAGAGAACCCCTGCTTGTGCCCAATGCTATCCACCAAATGCCCAAGATCCGGATCGGTAAAGACACCAATAAAAAGAAAAGAGAACTCCTGTCCTCCGCGACCACAGCCGCTGCTCATAACAATCGCCCCATCAGGGCCCAAGGCCTATTGTTAAGAGAGACATACATTAGTGTTTTGAAAAGACATACCCATTTGTGCTTCAATACATACCACAACGTGTGACCATAACCTGTTCACAGGGATACCCTACAGAACCAGAAACAAGGACGTGGCATGTCATCCCAGGCACATTCAACCCCATGTGGAGAGTGAAAGGAATCGACATGAGGCCTCTTTCCCTCCCACGGACCCTTCAAAGTCTTATCCTCTGCACCAAGAGCGCCGGATCCAACGACGTCCAATCTTCTCCTATCACCAGGCTATGATGCCTTGCCTACCATGTCTTGATGTTCGTTTGCAGATACCCACATCGTAGATGATTACCGCTTGTGCCTAAACATGATCATCCAACATGTAAAGGCGGTGGCACTACGCAGGGACACACCACAGTATCAATAACCATGATGGCCCCCCACAACATAAAGCAACATTAGTAAGTAAATGGATCATAAAACAATATCACTGTTTTGACTTACCCTTTCAAGACCAAATCAAGCACCTCAGTGGGTAACGTAACAAATAGACCATGAGAGGACGTAGGAATGCAAGGTCTTGTACATAGCATACTGGATCATGGATACCAATTGGACTTCTCGTTGGCTCTTACAGCACCCAAGGTAGCGTCATCGATGACCCTCCAGATCCTCCCACCGCGAGACCTACATGCCGACCCTTTCACTCAACACACATGAAGCTGAACGTACCTGAGAATCATCCACGCCTTGAATCTGGACTGCAGGGTATCCCATCCGTAACCGAAACGCCTCCCAAAAGAGAGACCCAAAGACGATCGCCCCTCTTGAAGAAGCTCTGTGGATGTAAGCCCACACCAAAACGAAGCACCACCGAAACAAACGACACCAAACCACCTTCAAATCAAGAACAATGTGAGTATTATTGAAACCCATATAATGTTAGCAGCTTACCAGCAACTAGAAAGCTTCGTATTCTTCGTAGACGTATTGGTCTTCGTCATCGTGGTCATCAAGAACATAACCATAACCATCGTCATAGTCATAGTCATATTCATCGCTATCGCCATTGTCGTAATCATGGCCATCACCATAACAATGCCCATCGTCGTGGTCATCATCATAATCATCATCATCGTCATCGCCACCATCATCGACATCGTCATCCTCGTCGTCATCCTCCTCTTCCTCCGGATCATAATCCAAGTCCTCCGTGGCTTCTGCAAGCCAAGCAGCAAATTCAGCCCATGCCTGTTGCTGCTCTTGGTGGTTTTGGTCTTGATGACCACGTGGTTGCGGACGTGGAGATGATGAGGGTGTGGTGTTGGGAGTGTTGGTGGTAGTAGTGGCATCGGTAAAAATTGGAGCAGGAGTAACGGAATTAATGGTGGCGGTGGTTGTAGTAAGAGTAACAGTAGTAGGAGTAGTAGTAATAGGGTGCGGTGTAGGTGGTTGGGTATCTTGAGGAATAATAAGGTGGGTATCGGTGGCAGGCATACAAGTGGTCATAGTGGATGTAGGAGTAGTTGTAGTGTTGATGGCGGCATTAGTGGTGATGGTGATATCAGTGGCGATGGCGGTATTAGTGATGGTAGCGGTAGTGGCAGGCATAGAGGTGGTCATAGTAGCGGAAAGAAGAGGTGTAGTGGCCGTGTCGGTATTAGTGGTGGTATTGGCGGCATTGATGACAGGTGAAAGGAGCGTAAAGTCTTCCTCCATAGGAATTGGCATAGGCGATGGTGGAGGCGATGGAGGAGGTGTTGCGGGACGTGAGGTGATGGTAGGAGTAGGCATATCTAAGTAACACGGGATTAAGTAAGCATGTCTATATATATAAGGTATTCAAAATGCACACTTACTGATGAGAACAGGATCGTCATCCTCGTGAAGGAAAGGAGGGATAGCCATATTGGCAGAAATGTTGGAAATCAGATCGTCATCTAAAAATTATCATAAAATGTTAACAAAATACATTACCATGGTACTCCAAGAGATAAAAGCTCTACTTACCGATTTCCACAGTAGCAATTGGCTCTTCATGTCGTCGGTCAGGAGGCGGTGCCATATGCACGTCCTCGTCAAACGGATCGTTGAGGCTCAAATGAGCATAGAGAAAACCTATATAAGGGTCATTATTAGAAATCTGTATGATTAAGGAAGTAAATGCATAGGTATATACTTACAAAGCTCGTCAATCGCACCCTCAAAAGCAGCAGCACCATCCACAGCAGCAGCAACAGGGTCAACGTCCTGAGCAACACCAGCCACAACACCACGAAGAGAGCCAACGTCATCCAAAGCAGAAACAACACCACCAAAGGAAGAGGCAACCACACCAGAACGAGAAGAAGAGGCAACAGCACCAGAACGAGAAGAAGAAACAGCACCAGAACGAGAAGATGAAACAACAGCACCAAGAGAAGAAGGCGAAACAACAGCACCAAGAGAAGAAGGCGAAACAACAGCACCAAGAGAAGAAGGCGAAACAACAGCACCAAGAGAAGAAGGCGAAACAATAGCACCAAGAGAAGAAGGCGAAACAACAGCACCAAGAGAAGAAGGCGAAGCAAACAACGCAAGAGAAGAAAGGCGAAACAACAGCACCAAGAGAAGAAGGCGAAACAACAGCACCAAGAGAAGAAGGCGAAACAACAGCACCAAGAGAAGAAGACGAAACAACAGCACCAAGAGAAGACGACGAAACAACAGCACCAGCAGAAGCAGCAGAAACACCAACAGCGGAAACATGGGCACCAACCTCACCCAAAACGACATCAACAGGAGCAAACTTGTCACCACCACAAGCAGAAGCAACAGGACCAGAAAAGGAATCACCATCATCAGGACCGTCAACAGCAGCAACATCGTACAAGGGAGCACCAGCAAGATCAACAACCTTCCAATAAGCTCGAGCCTCCTTCACAAACTTCGTTGCTTCTTCATTATCACGCATTGCTTGCAAAGTACGTGGATCCCAGTCAGACGAACACCACACCCAAACGTCGACAAGAGAATGCCAAAAGGCAACAAGGGGATCATTGAAGAAGACGAAAAACATGAAGAGGCAAAACAACGAGGCGAAGAGAACGGGGAAGGAAATAAGCAACTGCAATATGCAGGCAAAGAGCAGGACAAATGGGCACAGAGGGCCAGAGGCGAAAGCAGCGACAGTAGCAGAGAGCCAGAAGTAGAACATGACGCGAGTTAAAAAGTTGGGAAGAAAGTGGAAGAAATTCGTTGCGCTGGAAACGGGCAATTTATTACAAAGACGACGTCACCCCATTTCACCCCATTTGACTAATCCAATGTCATGACCCTTCTCAATTGCAGTTGGAATGGGTAAACAAGTATGTCTAAACTATCTTTATATGGTTTGCTTATCAAAGGGTATAGGTGTGGTGGTATTGTTAGGTGCAGTTGTATTATAGCCATACCGCAGCAATTGTCTTGTCTCCCCCCTCAACTTCCACCCCTTGCTAATAATGATAATAAACGGTACATATATGAAAGCGTTATGCATGGTGGTGTTGTTTATTGTACGTGTGTGTGATGGGCAGCAACTAATTTACTTGCGTGGATGTTTGGGTGTGTACTCGTCTTCTTGCTGCTTCTTGCCCATTCAGGCCCAACAACGCCGCGATCGTGGTTCGACATGGAAGCCCTCATTAGCAAGCGATGTGTGCGAAAAGGTGTGTATGAAGGTGAGTAGTGTTGTAGTAGAGTGTAAAAGTCAACTTGCCTTTCTTCGTTGTGCATACCGATCTCCTTGTCTTTTATAGCTTGCTTGGTCCAGCAATGGCGACAATGGCAACCTTTGGGAGGAATGGGGAAAGAGATTCGGTTCAACGGTGGCAACGTATAGTATGTTGATGGGGCAAGCAAGACCACTTGAAAGTATGCAGCAAAGGGATACGTTTTTCACTCTATTTCGGCGAGCTTCTTACAATGAACATTAGGAACCTTGAGCAAGCGACCTGATCATGTGATACTGCAGCAAGATGATATCATAAAACGACATGGCAACTTCTAGAGATGGTATGTGTAAAGCGTAACGATATCCAAAGGATGGGAATGGATCATTGAAGGATAATGAATGGATTGAAATAGGACCGCCTTCAACCAACATGATGGATTTATTACACTTGGTCTTTTGGATGGATGGAATGGCATCAAGAATTGCATGCAAGTTGTAAGGATACAACCCACAATGGTGATGGGTTTGATTTTGCTCAAAGGTGCCACAAGGCAATGAAGCACGCCATTGCATTCATTGTATTATTCGACCATGGAAATACACGACTTGGTTGTATGCATTGTTTATGGTACGTATTCACTTCCAGTTATCATTGTTTCCCAAAATACTAATGGAGGTCTTATGGTAGCGTACATTGGTGACATTCGTGGTAATATATATGAGCAGTATTTTGGCATATCATGGCAAGTTACGCGTCTACCAAGATGTCCTGGGACCATGGGCAACAAGTCAACAAGCTCCCTTTATGGCACATAATGCCTGCATTGCACACATTTCGATGGCTGGTGGCTATTCCTAACTCGCTACGCTCACTGCGTGTCGAATTTCATCAATCAGCATTTCCCAAACAATGGTTACCATCATGCGTATCTTGATTATCGTATCATGGGCAGCACCTGATTTTCGCCACTGGTACCTGTCGCCTCACCTGTACTTCTTATCCAAATTGCACGCTTGGAGATTGCGCATCCAACGCAAAAGAGATATCACCGAGTCTTGTGGTTCCCTTCATGCTGCTAATAATCTGGTGTTTAACGTGCTCACTGTGCCTAGCGAAAGGTAAGCAACACGCCAAATGGGTATAAATGTGCTGCCAAGTAAACAAGGCATCTTACAAACTTCCGTAGATCCATACGTGGTTATTGGAGGCATTGGTATGTGGAATGATATGATGGGGCAATGCGTGGTAAGCTACAAGGATTGTTTGTTGGTATCAGGCAGCTGACCATCTTGGATCTTATTCATCAGGTTATCCTTAAAACAAACACACAATTTCTCGTCCTGGATATGGCTGATTCACAATCCTAACACAGAGGATGATGGCGTGCACCACAACACCTTTTCGCTCAAGCAAGACTTTGGTGACATCTAATCTCAAGATGTTTTCCGCTTGCTGTTTCTATTAAATGTCATGTCGGCCTACGATGGTGTATGCAGACCAGGATTCAAGTAACATATGTGATGGTCCCGATGGATAATGAGGTAAGTTTAGGTATTGGTGAGCATTTGTGGTATGCGTGTTCAATAATGGCAGGATAGGCAGGATTGTACTTACCAACATTGAAACTAGGCACGTGGGATGCAAGCAAAATGGAGATGGTAAGATCTCCTGGTGTTGCTATACTGGCGAACGATGCCCACTGCCATTTGGTAGTTGTAGTAGGCTAGCGGATGGATCAAATAAACTTTACATGAACCAAATTCAGAAGGAGATGGAGTATTTCATGATGCGCATGTATACATTATCAGCTGCCTGTTTTGACATTATGTATCATAAAGGATCAACGAATCCTTATTTACTTCTTATCAAGGGACATTGACAGATTGAACAACCATGATATACATAATTATCTATCAGTACGTCTTGTACCATAGTAGCAGGCTACTCGGACCACGAAGCGAATGCCCGGTCGAGTACATAGGCCATAAGATCTTGACGCTCATCCAGCAAACAACTAGGCAAAACATGACATTCTTATTACGCCCCGGCATTTGCGAGATCCCATCTAGATCTTGGTCACCTTGAATTTCGTTTCGATGTCGTTCACCTTGAATCTCTTCGCGTTGTCATTCTCGCCATGACATCCAACATCTTTCTTTTAATGAGATCTCGTATCGCAAGAACATGTTTCGCTAGATTGTATGCCAACCCCTGAACATGCTCATGAATTTTATCCAAAGGGCTACCAACTATACCATTATAAGATTCGAAATACAAGCGTCTGGATGTGTGGACGGTGCAATCGATAGGTAGCTCGAATGCCAACCTTGAGATTGTAAACCCCAGCATAAAAATTTTACAATGCATGCTTTCAACAATACTGAGCGCCTCTCTTATACAATTCAAACCCCGATACCCGTTATCAACATTTGAACCACACGGGCCTTCATGGTTTCCTTACACAGCAGGAATAAAAGAATAAAACTACTATAAACCTCATTTTCGCATAACCTTAGCCCTAGCCCTAACCGGCAATCACCTATGAACCACGACCTCTTGAAACTTTTTGGCTGGCATGGACAAATGCAAAAATTGCTATTGACGAGTTCGAGCTTGATACTTTCACACAAGGTACTTTCGACCATGCTGAGCATGCTGGTTCCAAAAAGAGCTCATGTAGCATTGTGAGATTTTGAGTTACAGGAGCATGTATGTTTTGCTATTATAAACGGGGGTCTTTTTCGATTGTGACTCATATGCACATTTATAGTGAGATAGGTGCGAAAGGCGATGTTTGTATACGAAAGCGAAGAAAAAAGGATTCAAACAGCAACGGATCATATGGGTACACTGTATCACGGTGATTCATGGATTGGACGCTATCAGCCAATTCCACCCAAATTAAGCCCGTTGTGTATTTGCCAACGTGTGGTGAATGCGGCTGCTCCAAGGTTCCGTTTGATGGTTTAATTACATTGATCCGAGCCGATTTGGATGAGCTACGCTTAAACCAGGTTTTGTCTAGTGGATACACCCGTATACGGTGCATGTTGGATCCGATGTACCCGTTACGTTGCCGTAATTTCCTCAAATCGGCTCGGATCAAAGCACTTGAATATAGGAAATGAATCTTTGGAGCATGCGCATTTTTCATATGTTGTCAGATCCACAATGGGCTGGATTGGATCTAATTGGCTAATAGCTTGCAATGTATGCATGACCGAGAGAGAGCGTATACATATGGTCCATTGCTCTTTCAATGCTGTTTTCTTTGCTTTCTTACCCAAACACGGCCTCGTGCAGTGTCGTGTATATGGATCGGTTAAGGTACACATCATGTATTCATTATCATCATCTTTATCATTGTATATACAAAAGACAAGCACATAAGCATACAAGAGATGATACACAAGCGTGGATCATCATATACAACTCAGCCCGTTACTCATTTACGATATAGCTTGTTATTGGTAGAAAAGCTTTACTCTTTAGCATCCGCCTAGTTATAGTACTCAGAGGTAGATCGATAGAAAGACGTCTCTTTTCCCAGACACACATTTTCAGAGTAAACAGCAATCTCACAGACTTTGTTTGTTATTCGTTTTTTATCATCTACACACACACACATACACATACATCTCATGCAGCTATTGCACTATAAGTGGTTATATGAGTTACAGTTGAAAAAGAGGACTTTATCATATAGCATCATGTTTACAGCATAAAGACAGCCATCCATAACCTGAAACCTCTCAATGAAGCATGGGCTCTTTTTGCAACCATCGTGCTCAGCCCAGCTCAAGCAACCTTGTGTGCCAGTTTCAGGATCGAACTCGTCAATCTCAAATTTGGCCATGTCACCGCCAAAATGAAAATAGGTCGACGTCTTGAAACTTTTTGGTTGGCATGGACAAATGCAAAAATTGCTATTGACGAGTTCGATCCTGAAACTTTCACACAAGGTACTTTCGACCATGCTGAGTATGCTGGTTCCAAAAAGAGGCCATGCTTCATTGAAAGGTTTTGAGTTACAGATGCATGTATGTTTTGCTATTACAAAGGTGGGCCTTTTTACATTGTGACTCATATGTACATTTATAGTGAGATAGGTGCTAAAGGCGATGTTTGTATACGAAAGCGAAGAAAGAAGGATTGAAAAAGCAATATGCGCTATCGATGATGATGATGATGATGATGATGATGATGATGATGATGATGATGATGATGATGATGATGGATGTTGTCACCTTGCATGGACCCTGAATGATGCATGGACAAATTGTAACGCTAAGAATCATTCTTGGAGAATGCACTCGAGCAATTGATCAACTCATGACCGATTCCAACAAGCATTCCATCACCTTCTTTTTACGATCACGTAAATAGACATGCCCACAAATACAGATATGAAGATGAATGATGTCGCCATCAATTTATTCACACACGTCTCTTTTTTCCATCATAACACGTTTTGATTGCTGGCACGTTGAAGGTCTTGGTCAGTACCAGCACGATCTTATTTTGTGATCGATCCATACACCTACGGTTGTGATGATGATTCTTAGCTTCATTGTGATCTCACTTTAACTGTCACTGTTGTCATTGTGATACTCGCCTCTTTTATTGAGCAAGGATTCTACCATAAATCACATACTACTACTTCTTATCATACAACCACATCATGGGTGCACATGTAAAGTTGGATTCCGGTAAAGTATCTCATCCATGCACAGCCCCTTTTTGTGTAACCAAGTGAGCCATGCTCTTGTGATTTGGGCTTGTTCTACAACAATCGTCGGACTTTGCTATTTGCACCATGTCAATGCACCATGTCAACTTCAGCACCCGACGTACGTAGACCATGGCACCGTAATCGATCCGATCATCCTCGCTGCTTACCGAACACGCATACAAATATTAAAAGTAGGTTGACAACATCATGGTAAGGCACCTTTTTAATAACGGGGATGTGCATTAGGCGTACAAGTAATTGATTTTCTTGATAGATTTCTTATCACCTGCCCTAATGGCCGATGTATGATGCATAGACAACATTGCACTAGGATCCTCAGACTTAATCCTGGTATATGCGCCCCATCACTTTATCAGCTCACATGCGTCAATTTATCAATCCATCATCCCCAACAGACAAAAAATACCCACGCCAACAATGCACAATAAAAGGATGATGTTGTCGCCGCCCATCCTACTCCCACACGCCTCTTTCCTCTCTCCTCCTTCTTCTTTGATTGCTTACAAGGCCAAATTTCCAAGATTTTGTACGATGCCCATTCCTCGCAAGCTTTGTGAACAAGCGCTGATCTTTGTGGTCATTCATAGTGCTTTACTTTTATCCTATTCTCATTGCCGTTGTATTGCGATATTGTATTCTTGTAACGAGGTAAATCCTGATCATGTTGTTTGAAGAGTCACTACTCACACACGCTACCTTGTTACTTTCGATTGATATAGCTATCTCCCATGATGCATGTTTTGGTTACGGTGCCATGGTCTACGTACGTCGGGTGCTGAAGTTGACATGGTGCATTTGACATGGTGCAAATAGCAAAGTCCCAATCGTCTTGTTTTCGCTCACAAGCTTACGCTCCTCCATCTACCGAATGACAATTCAACAACAACGCCATCTCGTCGACGTGTTACCGTTTGAGGTGCTCTCCAATATCTTTGCTCTGCTGTCTCGAATTCAAGTTCATGAATGCATGCTCGTTTGCAGACAATGGCACACTTCAGTTCCGGAATTGGCCTGCCATTGTTTTCGTCATCTGAGACTGGATGGAAGGAAGGACTATCAAGGCTATGTCGGTTTACTACCTCGAGTGTGTAACTATGCCAACGTGGTCACCCTGCATGATTACGGGATGGTCGATTTGAATGCTTCAAAGGTTGGGGACCTCCTTATTCATCATTGCCCGAATTTGGAGATATTAGGCAAGTAGGTCAATGGATGGGTTCATGACAAGGGTGCTGTTTTACTTATGGTGTATGCTATACAGAGATCGAGGATAGTCATATTCATGAGCACTTGGGCCCGTTTCTGGAAAAGCTGCCATCGATTCGACATTTGAAAATCATTCGTCCCGCCAGCATCCCATCGCCATTGCATGAGATCATCCACAGCATTGCGTCCTATTGTCCACAGCTGGTATCATTAAGCGCTACACGTGCAAAACCTTCTGTTGTCAATGGAATCCATCCTCCTGTAAAGGAATCCACTCTTATTGGCTTACGACATTTGGATCTACAACGTTCAGGATTAAGCGTCCTACAACTGGAGACAGTGTTGAAGAGGTGTCCCAACCTAAGGACTTTGATTGTGGATTCACAAGATGACATGGGAAAAGGAAAAGAGACCTTGGCACGGCATTGTCCAAAGATACAACATTTCAGCTTATGTTATCAGCCACCCCATACACTTTACCTGCCAATACCATTACCATCGGATGATGATGATATCGCAGAGGACGAAGGAAATTACCAAGGAGATTGTATTGCATTGAAAGGGTTATGGATCCATGGTTTCCATGCTCGTTTCTTTCTTGATCAAACCCACCTTCACTATTTGCGCTTGGAGCAGTACAGAAAATGGGGTACGCTTGATGTCACCACATGTACGACCATTACACAACTTGTACAACAAAACGTCAACACATTGGAGCATATCGACCTGGGAAGCGATGTGGACATGTTACACACCTTATGCGAATCACTCCCATCTATGAGCAATTTGAAGTCGTTCCGCTTTTCGTTCGATGGCAGAACACGTGCATTTGTGGATAACTCAAGTCCTGTTGACTTATTGGAAAAAATCGGCAAGGTCGCTTCATCTCATCCCACGCTCACATCTATTCATATCACAGTCATTGCTATTGGATTGAAGTCATCGGTGCTCTCGGCAATGTCACGTATTCCTCTTCTCAAACAACTGCACATGTGTTATCGCGTTATTGCGCCTGCTGATTTGGAAGCCCTTTTCCATAATGCATCCTCTTTGGAACATGTAACGTTGACAGCCAGGCACCTTGAGATCACCAACAAGATGTTTGTTGAATTAGCAAAGCTAAACTTGGATCATGCGTCATTCTTCTCGGACCGTACAACCACTATGAGTGCTTTGGGATTACGCCATTTCGTTGATCAGCATGCTGGTGCTCTGTATAGGATGTCTATTATGGGGAACATACAACCGGATGATGATGGAAAGTGTCTTGATTATGCAAGGGAGAAGTTAGGAGAGCGGTTTAATTATGGGAATCCTTGTCCATTTTTTGAATATACATAAAACAATACATTCTTTTCGAAGATGATTCTCTCGGCGTTTATGTCATGATGTTAATATGGAGCTTTTGAGGCTACAAGGCTTGCACATATTGGTAAAGTGGAAGATAGCAGGATTTTGTGAGCCTGGATTATTGTCATCACAAGCATGAACCAACAACGATGCAGGATGCAGGGGTATTTATTGGACACAAAAGAGAATTTACACATCATTCATTCCTCAGCCTGGGGAATTTGTGTCGTAAAATGGTGATAACATAGCTATCAAGTCTATACGAAGGAAAACGGATATCCACGAGCTGGTCGCATACAAGCAAGGAAAGAGCTGTTAATGTCGACATTCGAATCACCTTGATTTCCAAGTATCTTAGAGAACGAACATCTTTCAATCCAATAAAGTGAGGTTCACTCAAGCTCTCAGCGCCTGAAAATGTGATGAGAAGCCGCTGTAGACGCGTACGATTTGATGATGCCCGGAACTTGATGTTCTTCACCATCCTTGTTAATGTAGCCTCTGGTAAATCCAACAAGATATCCAATTCTTTAAGCATTTGCAACGATGTGACTAACGGGAGGAGGTGTTGTTCACAATCCGGTGTCCATAAGGCGATGGCGAGTGATCGTAGGGGTGAACGTGTACCAAGCCGAAGATGATGTCTAAGGAATTGCTTCAGGGTAGCTGTATCTTGCATGTGATCAGCCATCTTTATATCGGCCGCCACCAAATGTTCGCAACGTAACATGGCATCAATCACATCCGATGAGTCCCAGAATATGTACGGTTCAAGCATTGTGATTCGTTCAAGGCATGGGGATCGGGAAATCAAGGTTCGAAACAGCATTTGAGATGAATCCTCTCCTAGTACACCCGATAAATCAACCAAATGGGGAAATGTCGCTTCTGGTGGAACATGAACGGGTTGATCACTATCATAGTCAGGCGTGTGTGCATGGTGGTAATAAAGGCGTTTCAATGTGCTTGATGTCTGCAAGAGATAATTCATCACATCTTGAATACGGCCTTGATGAATCCCTTCACCAATCCAAAGATCTTGTATTCCTGGTCGATTCAAATCATCATCATCATTCCCAATGGATGGCCACCCTCGAACAAAGTCACTGGTATATTGACAGTATTTCATGCACTTTAGAGAAGGACAATACTGGTCGATGATCCGTAAATGCTCCAACTCTGGTATGGCGTTGATAGAAAGTGCGACCAATGATGGTAGTTGCGGAAGCAGGTTTTCAAGCTCTCTTGAATAATCACTCGGCTCTGCATAATCATACTTAATATCCAATGCTTTCAATTGTGGATAAACCCGGTTCGTTTGGCTACTCTTCTTCAATGCACGTCCTCCCCATTTCAGACTGATAAGGCGGGGACATAGCTCCATAACATCATCAAGCGTGTAGCGACAACCGTATTCCTCCTGCTCTTGCAATTCCACAAACGAGAGTTGTGTATAAGGACAAGGATAAAGCAGCTGATCATGTCCAGGGAAGGCTTGTCTTTCTAGATACACCATTTGTTGTTAATTAAGATGAAAAAAGAAAACACTTCAATCAGTCTTACCAAAATGAAGAAACGCCACGTTGACCAATTCATCCTTTCCCAAGAGTTCATCCGATGCTAGTTCCCATCGTGTCACAACCTTTCTGGTATGGGATGCGAAATCTGTCACCTCGTTATGTGCATATCCATATGAATCGGATGTTGTCACGCGGTGTACAAGAAAAGATGTCGATTGAAGGATAGCTCTTCTCCAAAGCTTTGAAACATGTAAAAAGGCCGGTGTCACCCTGATGTTGGTATGATTCCAGAGATACGAAACGACCTTCACAACAATATCACATGGTAATCGTGCAATAAAGTCGACTTTGTTTTCATTGTGTTGCTGTGGTAGTGCAGTGGATGATGTTGCAATCTCAAGCGCTTGCAAATAGATTTGGACTGTATCTTCGGATCCCTCAATATAGCCATCAATCAGACCTTCGCGAAGGGGACCTATAGGTGACGCAGGATCCAAGAGAGCCATCATCTTCGCTTCTTCAAGGGCTGTGTCCAGTTGGTTGAGTGCAATAAGCGAGTCTGAGCGTGCGTACAAAAGTTGTACAAGCTGGTGCTTGAGATCGTCAACAGCGAGTTGCGATGTGTCAATAACTTGATCGTGTCTCTGAAGATGCATGGCTGCCGTCAATGTCGAAAGTAGATTGTCGCATTCGAGTTGTTGCATGTTGTCTACGATCGTACAAAGAAAGAAGGAGTGCGGGGTCTCTGTGTGCCTTACGCAATCAACCCATTTATTTATCCACTCCCGCTTGTATGATTGACCCCCTATTACCGCGTCAATAATAAATGATGGCTATAAGCTTTCTATTATGGAGGCTTCCAATTTTAATGAAAGATGGTATACCTTGTGCTCATAATTGCTTATCCTGAAGTGGGGTAACAATGATATCATATGAGGATTGTGCTACGTTGAATGCTGTTTGTGCGCCATGCACATCTTTAAACTACATTCAACATTGGGCTGACTGGATAAACGATCCTTGCTTTTGCAGACATTTGCTACAAATACAACCATTTTTCATCCATGCTTGCTTTGTATCTCCATGATTTCCAAGTAGGCTACTCTCTATGTGTGTGGATGACGAATGGATGATAGATCAGGCGTGCATGCTTGTGTAACAGCAAAATTCTCCTGTTTATCCGATCCATTCATGCGGGGTCCACTCGATACGTCTCTCTGGTTACTCTCGTTTCCTTGACGACACCCGTAAACACCACCCTGCACCCCATTTACAGCCAAACGCTTATGATGGATACACAACAACAGCAATACAACAACCGATTTGATTCATTGAATTACCAACCTCCATTGTCTTCTTGTCGCTTGCACTCATCGGCAGCTTACTGTTACTGGCTCTTGTTCTTCCGCTGACACAAAGACTTTAACGCTTGGTTCAACGCACTATACCCTATTGAGCCATGCAAGAAACCATAGCAACCAATATCGGCAACGGATCCGGTTACCTTTTGTTGGAACAAACGCTCAAGCCCTTTATTGCTTATCGTTTCGTGTGGTGTTCATTATGGACCTTTTTACATCATTGGACATGCGTGTATGATTGATTCATGGCTGGCTGGCTACATTTTAGGGATTGATCTACCACAAAAAGGATGACTTGTACAGCTGGTGATGATGATGGCAATATCCTATCATGAAGAGAATACCTATCAACGCTATACGGACCCTGGCAAACATGAAGATGGATATGGTAAAGCATTATTGTGGATCGAAGGTAAGGATGGATGAACGCAAAGAGGCTAACGAACAAGGTAAGTGATGATGACGATGATGATGGCAGCTTCCCATGATGAAGAGCATCTACCCATAATACTATGAGGAGTCTGGCAAACACGAAGATGGATACGCTGAAATTGTTAATGTGGATCGAAGGTAAGAATGGATGAATGAAAAGAGGCTAACGAACTAGGTAAGTGATGATGATGGTGATGATAGCAGCGTCCTATGATGAAAACAGCATCTACCCATGCTATGAGCGAATGAGGAGTCTGGCAAATGTGAAGATCGATATGGTAAAGCATTATCGTGCATGGAAGGTAAGAGTGGATGAAGGCGAAGAGGATAACCAACAAGGTAAGTGATGATGATGGCTATATAGGATCAATTATGGATGACCTGGATCAAGATGTTCATACTGTGCGACTTTTGTGAAGGATATTCATGGCACATTTCCCATCGATATTGCATACACAATTCGAGGGACCGCATATCGTTGTACTTTACAATAAAAATACGGAGATGCTTATGATTGGATGGTATGAAATGCAAAAGGACAATAATACATGATCTATGGATGGGTTGTAATATAGAGTACCAGGCATAGTTGTCAATTTGTCATACAATACTTACGAGATTCAACAACGTTGTAAAGTTCGTGATGGAGGTAATACCTATAGACGCATTTGATCTGTGGTCTTCTTTTACTCCATGTGGGATGTCCATGTCGATTAGATGCTGTGATGATTATCAGTGGCATTTATCACAGCAACATGTTGGATAATAGGAATGATGATAGGGGATCAATGCAACCTGGCCATAAAGGGTACACATGTGCAACGTGCAGTGTTTAAAAATTCAGTGGCGTAAACATCACCTTTTACTTTGTCTCTTTCTTTCTATTTTACACCATGGTGTACGTCGACTGGAAGAAAATACTACACGGCATGCCTGCAACATCGAGCAACTACAGCAATGATGATGATGACATTATGAGGACAACATTTGAGATTCAGGATTTGTTGCATCGCATCATCTCAAAGCTTTCGCACCGTATGCATGGTTTGATATCGATTGGCAACTTTGAATGGGCTTTGAACGATGCTGCAGCCATACGAACGCTTGATCCTTCGTTCTCCGATGGATATCTATGTGCAGCAGAAGTTTATCATCAGCAAGGCGATAACCAAGCAGCCATTGAAATATGCAATGAAGGCTTAAAAATGATTCATCCATCCGATCCTGTATATGCTACTCTGTGCTCAATGGTTACCAAATTGCCAACGGAAACGCGAGTCGACTTTATATCTTCATTACCCCTGGACATCACAAGTCGTATTGCATGGATGATATTCACAAAGGGACACCCTACCAAAAATCGAAAGCAATATCCATGCCTGCAGGTGTCAAAAGTTTGGAACAAACGATTACTGGAAGCGTATAACGCACTTGAATTGCATGTTGTCAATAGCAACGGTTTTGACAAATGGGAGCCGCACATAGTACGTTACGGGCATCACATGACATCTTTGACCATTGATCGGTGTACGTCGCCATCATACAAGTTGCTTGAGAAAACAAAGTTTGGTTCATTGACAACGTTGTCAATAAAAGGTGAGTGTTGTCAACAATAAATGTGGTCATGGCAACTCATTTTGCTCTGCATTAGATACACCTCAGGATAAAGACACCTATATGATGGCAAGGTTACTACGCTCCTTGCAACAAATGCCAACAACATTGACAACACTCACGATCATTGCTCCGACAATGTTACCTATCGCTTCAATACTCAATTCATTGCCCCATTTGTCGTCATTGGAATGCTCTTCAATTGCAGTAGACCCAATCATGTTGCATTCGGCTTATCTAAAGATGGAAACTTTCAAGTTACGCTGCACAATGTATGCCGATTATGAGACCGCATCATGTATCCTGCCTCGATTTCCATTCCTCCGTACTCTTTTATTTGACGCAATCACCGACCGATTTCCAAAGATCTTGGCACAGCTACCCAATTGGTGTCGTAGGCTACAGCACATTAATTTGGGTGTTGAGCATAGTGCCAAGCATCACATGACACCTGGAGGTGTGACAATTATCCTAGCAATGAAGGATGCATCATGCAGCAGCAGGGACATCATCGCGCTCTTAAAACATTATGCAGCTGATCTCGAAAACGTGGCGTTTCAAATATCCCTCGATGACTTTCCAAAGCATTTTATCATGCCTGTTCAATTCAAACGACTAAAGTGTATGCAAATAGCGTATGGTGATACACCTATTACCAATGAACGCTTGTGTGAGTGGTTGTTACGGCATGCTCCTTTTCTGAAAGCAATCCATGTCCACAGTGCTAGATCAGCAGGCATATCCGTATTCAATGCAATGATAGGACTGGCTCGGTTAAGAGTTGTGGAAATTCCATTCTCGTCGGATACTATCAAAGGTCAAGCTTGGTTCTTGAAGCACCATCATACATTGGGTACCAAATCAAGTCTACGAAACCTCATCATCCGATTTGTTGGTGGCACTTTTATCACAGGACATACACTGCAGCGTGTGGCTGGATTAAAACATTTGGAACATTTGTCCATTGTGGAAGAGAATGATTATGGCGGTGTATTTCATCAAACACCAAGGCTCATGTTTGAGAGTCTCATTCGTGGATGCACGTCATTGACACACCTAACCTTGGATGCTTTTACGTGGATTGATCAAGCAGTCATTGACGCAGTGGCAAAATCAAAAAGCCTCAAGCACCTGACGCTCATGGTGGACGACGTTTCTCAGACAACAATATGCCCTTTAATTTCATGTCCTCAGCTCAAGACGATTCATTTATCAACTAACAAGTCAATGGTACCAGCATCTGATCCAGCTACTCAAAGAGAAAAGACGCTACGGCTGGTTTTCTCCAAAAGGGCACCAAGATGATCTACTCCACTTTTCCCACAGCCATCATGATGATAAATGTTAGCTAAGATGAACAAAGATGAATCACAAAATAAAAACAAACGAACGCATAGTAAAATTTGAGATTGACTATCTCGAGCTTGATACTTTCACACAACATACTTTTGACCATGCTGAGCAACATCGGCCTAGTAAAGATCCCCATGCTACATTGTGATATTTTAAGTTATGGCCGTCTTTATGTTGTAAACATGGTGCCATATGAATAGTGGTGTTTGTTCATCCGAAATCGTGTCATTTATAGCAGAGAGAGAAAAAGTTGTAGGTGGATGTGTTTGTATTTCAAAGACAAGAGGATGGGATGGTTATACAACTCGCAACGAAAACACCATCATCAACATACACACCTTGACGCAAGAATTGAACACACACACAACACAAGTACTCCAACAGTTGCGTTATCGATCATATGCATATAAATAAGCCTTTTACTGGATACAGACACACCAAGTGGAAGGGTTGCTGGTTGCCATGGAGAGATTGGTCGTATAGGCTGTGATAGCGGTGTTGGTATCACATGCATGCATGAGGGGCATTGTCTAATTTGGATGTGTTTGTGTCAAAAGGGCGCTTTGCCTACTCAGCTTCTCCTTCCTCCTTCTTGCCGAGACCCAACAACAACACAATCGTGGTTCGACATGGAGCCGCTCATTAGTCAAGTCGATACGTGAAATGGTGTCCATGAGGTGAGTAACGCGTTAATGGAGTCCAGATGTAGACTTGTCTTTGTTCGCTGTTCGTACTGATATGCTTGTCTTTTTACAGCTTTCCTGGTTCAGCAATGGCGACAATGGCAGTGTTTGGGAGGAATGCGTAAAGAGATTCTCTTCAAGAAGGGCAACGAGTTCACTGTTGATAGGCCAAAGAATACAACCAGGAAGGTTTGTAGCAAAGGGATTCGTTGACATTCTATCTGGGCGAGCTTCTTACAATGAACACTAGCAAGTTTTGTCCAGCGACCTGATCATGTGATGACAAACCAGCGACAGAGAAAAGACAGCGCTTCGACTTTGGAAGGATGAAGACTAATGGGTGAAAACAGGATCCTCAACAACCGTGGTC